GATAACGTTTATAATCGTATGAACTTGATGAACTTGTACTTGACGTCGATCCAGAACTCTTACCATTGTTTTTGTGACCAGCACCACTGCCATTTTGTGTATAACCACCTACGACCCCGCTGCTACCTCCTGGTTGTCTGGCTGACGCATTGTAAGCTGTTGTTTGTTGTGTATATTGATTGTAAGGACCCATTCCTGTGTGGGTTCACTCAAACTATTTATGTTTTATATGTATGAGTGTGTGTTAGAGAATATGAAGGGAAGACTGAAATACAGCACAAGCTCGATTGCTCTATGTATGTGTATATATATATATATGATGCAACTTTTTTGACAACGACTCGACTCGTCTTTACTCTCTCTCCGTGACCAACAAAATAAAATTGTGCAATCAAATCGTTACGGTGAAAGATTTTTTTTTTCTCTTCTTTTTCTGTGTCTCTTCTTCTTCTTCTTCTTATTCTTTTTCGCTCTCTATGTATAGATGAACAACCGTGGAGATGTACGAAACAAGATTGATATCTTCTCTATGTTAGAGTAATAGTAATGGTAATAAAGTTGAAGTTAAGAGGAGTGAGAAGTGATAGAGAAAAAAAAATATTTCAAAAATTCAGAATTTTAAGACTCTTACCAGTGACTTTTTAAATGTTGGGTATTCTGTTTCGGCGAGGACGATCAAGTGAATGTGAATCTGATTGATAGAAAGCGTTACTATTTATATGACACACAGCTTACGACCGTGAACATCCTTCTCTCTTGCTTCTTCATTATCTTTTTTTTTCTTGTGACCCTGATTGGTCTCGTAGCAATGAGTGTGTAAAAAAAAATGGATTCAGAAAAAATGAAGGGCATTCATATTCATACTTGCTCACTCAAGCACGTCAAGGTTTACGGACACAATTGAACTCATAGAACAGCATTTTGACCATAGCCTTGTTTATGGATGAATGATATTGATGCGAGAAAAGAAGCACCCTTTTTTCGCAATTAGAACGATGTACGTGTAGTTGCGCGATCGATTTGATCGATTTCAATCGCAAGTATAACACGTGCTCTGCTCGAGCGAGCACACGCTTACGCGACTTTGAGCGAACATGTAAGCAAGCAATGATGAACACATATACGTACGCAAAGTTGATTGATGAGACAGTAACGATGAATGAATAGAATACGAGCGCATAGATAGATTACGAGAGCATAATATACATGCATTCTTTCGAATATATATATATATATTCAATGTTATATGAGCACAGACGATGATTTCACACAATGAAAGAAATAAGAGTTAATTTAAATCAGTTCTTTTTTAATCGAAAGTAAAGACTACGAACGAAAAGAAAAATGTTTCATAACGAATAAATATGAATTAAATTAATAATGATAAGAAAAAAAAAAAACAATTAAACTCAAGTAATATTAAATTATTATCATCAAATTCATCTTCGATGTATGATATACATATTCTAAAGCTATCTATAACCCATATCCAAGAAAAAAAAATCTTACATATATTTTATCCTATTATAATAATCCGATACTAGCCGATTCAATCGATCAATAAATCAAAACAACTACAAAAAGTCAAAAAACTATATGATGATTACTAAATTTCAATTCTAGTATTATTGATCGAACAATTTTTCTATACAATATTCATTTATCTTCAACTGTTATTACTATTACAACTAATTATCTGTTTTATTCTAACCTTTTTTTGATAATGAATAATTTGTTGACACATATAAACTTGAACATCTAATAATGAACTATTCACAATAATTAGTTGATGAAAATCATCTAGAAAAAAGAAAATAAAGAAATGAATTTATTTTAATTCAAATTATAGTTCTAAATATATATATTACTATTGATATCAGGCATTGTTTTCATTGTTAACTAAAGACGTTGATGAAATTTATCGAGATATTCTGATTGTACTTCAGACGAATCAGACTAATCAAAATAAAATTATTAGAAAAAAAAAAATATTTTACTTTGTATTTATTTTACTATTTGTTCTGTTAGATTTTTAGATTTATAATCAATAGATTGAATAATTGATGGAGCAACAATAGTAATTAAAATAATAATCAAGAGACAAATCAAAAATAGAATGAATACAACTAGAAATTATCGTTTGTATAATGTATATATACGAATTTGTATTAATCTAAATGAAAGATTTTGTTTTAATTTAGGAGAATCTGATGAACAGAAAAGAGTTGCATTACTTGATCTAGTACGAGGCATTCGATTTAAAAAAAAAAAGTTTCGTTTGTTTTCCGTCGATATCTGAAACCATTAGACTCAAAATTTTAATGTTCAATATCATTTTCATTTCAAAAGTTAATTAATACCGACTTTTTACTATTATCATATTCATATGCAACAAAACCATCCTGTTTAAAGTTCTGCTTGTTTTCACTGCAATGAATCATTCAAAAAAATTTTTTTTTTTTTGATATATTACAATAAAATATGAATAATTAAAAACTGAACAAAAACAGCTATTTTAATATAATATAGTGTTGATTGGCTCAAGTTTTTTAAGATCAACATGAATGAAAAAATAAGTCTGTCGATGCATCTAAAATGTTCATTTGATAACAATCTATGTCATGTCGAGATTCAGAATCAAAGAGTTCCAAACTGAATTTTATTTGTGCTATTCAACTTTTTATTCGCTACAAAATGGTAAAAAAAAAACTATTCAAAACTAAATGATGCCTTCAGGGCACAATGGGTTCACATTCTGTCTTAGATAATGATATTTCGATAGCCAAAAAAGAAATCATTTTCAACAATTTTCATTGCCATGACAGAATTGCAAAGCAAAATAAATGCGAAATTCGTAATCAAAGACGAAAATTACATTAAATCAAATATATCTTAGAAAAATTATTTTTTTGCAAAAAAAAATTGATCTATAAGGAACGACAAATATATTTTTCTCAAGAAAAAAATTCTCTAAAATATATATTTGATTCTGATTTCGAATGTCGCATTTATTGTACTTTACAATTGTGTCATGGCAATGAGTATTGTTAAAAATGTTCGTTTTTTTTTCATATTGAAAAAAAGTCATCAACAATTAAGATATAAGAGAAAAATGTGAACTTCATTTTCACCCGGAAGGTATCATTTATTTTTCAATACTTTTTTTTCCACTATTTTGTAGAGAATAAAAACTTGTACAATATATATAAAATTCAACTTGGAACTCTCTGACAATGAATCTAGATAGAAAATAGATTCTTATCAAATGAACATTATACACTCATCGAAATAGTCATTTTTTTGATTCACAATGGCTTTATAAAACTTGAGTTAGTCGATGAATTGTCAAAGTACAAAAAAAATGTGTGTAGTACTACAAGATAATTTTTGTTGTTCTGTAACGAGAGAACATCTTCAATTAATACTATTTGTCTGAAAACTCTCATAGTTTGGACAAATATTCGAAAAATGTTCGTACTCGAAGACGTTTCTTCTCGAATTAAGGTCATCGTACTTAATTTTTAGCTGATTGTAGGATATTACGAAAATAATCAAAATAAAGAATTATAGTCTGAAATCTACTCTAATAATAAATTTCATGATACTTATTGTATTTTGAAATTTTTAGTTAAAATAGGAGCTTTTCTTCTAAAATAACACGTATACAAAACAAACACAACATCCGTAAAGACCTAATTTTTTTTAAGTAACCCATATTTTTCAGAAAAACTTATTCGTTTCATCTGAAACTTTTTTAATATACATAAAATACTATAGAATCTATTATCAAGGAAAATTTCAAACAGAAATTCCTTATTACGATGTAATGTTTCATAAATATTCAGTAAAAAAAACCGTAACTCGAGAAGAAAAATCTAACGATACAAACTTTTTAAAACTTTCATTTAAATGATGATCTCAAACATAGAGAATCAGTTGAAGAATAAAAAAAAAATATATATATAAAAACATCCTTTACGAATAATATACAATTGATAAACATCAAGTATATTTTCTAAACGACTTAAGTTAAACGTTAAAATTCATATCAAATAAATAAAACACACAATTGAAATCCTTTAACCACTAAATGGTCAATTCTCTTGCAAAAAACCAATGTTTCACATTTAGAAATTTCACACATTATACTCGTTGACTTTATAATTACTTTGTTCTGAGAATCTTTTTCTCTATTTACATTAGTACAATATCATTCATATAATGCATTTGAATAATTTAAAGCGGAGATATTTTAATTTTTTTTTTTTTATCATAGTGTTTATCTATGACGTAGTCTGCATGAAATATACCTTTATTTCTAGGATATGTACTTCAATGCAATAGACTTTATCTTTCAACGATACATTTTAAATGAAAAAAAAAATATATTCAATGTATAGATGTCCATGGTAATTAGAAATTTGCCACTGTCGCAATTGTTTTCGAGAAATTCCACTACTATGCTAAATTAGCTTGAATCCATCAGATTCTGACTGTTGAACTTGTAGCGATTTGAAAAAAGAAAATTGTTCGAGATTCGAGGGTCATTCTTTGCTTGTAGCCACTCAAATTGGGTGCAAACTCATGTAATTTCCCTTAAAAAAAACTTGTCACTGCCTCGATAGTATTTTTAAAACATAATTCATGCAGCTATAGATAAATCTAAGTCAATATACAACTCTGTTAGCATTTTTCGATTTAATATAGATCAATGTTTCTGTTCTTCTTTTTTTTTTTTGTTATTTCTTAATGCTGAAATTTTACAAAATATTGATATCTTTTTAAAATTTTTATCTATATTCAACTACTTACCATTGAATATGTTTTGTTTCATCCATATTCTATCAAATCAAAATAAAAATTTCAGATGTGAAAAATCATAATTATAAATCTTCCTTTTTTTTTTTCGTCTTTAATGAAAAAAAAAAAACAAAAAATCAAAATCATATCACATAATAAGAAAAGAACAAAATGTTTGAATTTGAAAATTTCTTTTTTTTTTAAAGTTTACTTTTTTCAATTAAATCATTTTTTAACCATATTGGTATTATAAATGTTTGTTTATTATTATGAATCATTTTATTAATAGCTTCATATACTTGACCATTACTATTTCCTAATACTGAATTAAGTATATGATCAGGTGGTGCAAATACATCAACTAATGCAAGAATTTCATTACGTAATTCATGACATAAATCTAATAAACGTATTTGTATCCATTGATTAATATGAACATTTTTAATATAATTTCCTTCGAATAATATTCCTATATATTCTTCAAATAATTTTAATATATGTACAATTAATAATTTTTCAAGAATTTGTTTACATTTTTCATCCATATCATTGTTTAATTTAAGAAATTGTACAAAACGTATAATAGCTGTATGCTAGAATAAAATTTTCAAAAAAAAAAAAAGTTTTATATAATTTTGTATTTTACTTGAATATAAATAATTGATAATGTTCGAAGATGATAAATTTGTGTTATATTTTTTAAATCAAATGATGATAGATTTGTTGTTAATATTAATTGATCAAGTTTTCGAATAGATTTATCCACAATATAACATAAAAGCCAATCGATAGCATCAAGTAAATCTATTAAAAGACAAACAAAAGAAATGTATGTTGTTAATAGATGTTAGAAATAAACGAAGATATTTAACAATGAATATGAGAAGGTAGTGTATTCGCTAAGAAATTCGATTGTATTCGTAATAGACATTAAAATTTAATCAAAGTAGTAATCTTCGTTACTATTCGAATTTCTTTTATTTATCACAACTAAAGTTAATAATTGATAAACATAATCAATGAATGAAACATGTCCATTGATTGTTCATAAAATTATATGCATAAGATTTTGTTTTCTTCTCTGATTCAATTGAAAGATAATCTTTAGTTTCCAATAGAAAAAAAAAACATTATTGTGGTTCATCGATAAAGAATGCCTGGAAAATAACCAGAGAAATTGGTCGAATCAAAGGGAAAAAAAGAGTGAAAATTTCGTATTTGAACATACTACATGCAAGATTATGCTAAAGGTATCCTCTAGAACTTCTTAATGATTTTAGATCAGACATCTTTGATTTGAAATTCATGTTTAATAGTCTTATTTCAAATAAAACTTCGAATTATAGTTCTCTAAAAATTTAATTATCTGATATTAGATCAATTATCATATTTTTGAATCTGATCGACTTGTAGTCGTTCATTTTTTTAATTATTTATTTCATCGTATATGTATCTATGATAGCCAATTCAAAAAATTTTTCTATTAGTTTACTTAACTGAAAATAACTGCAATGAAAACTAAACCCAAATCTACCAGTTCAATACATGCCTATCTTATATAACTCAAATAGAATTGTAACTAAATGTATTATTTATAATTTAATCTTATTCTTTTACCTTTTAGATGACATTCCGATGTAATTGAACATTGATTATTTTGAAGAATAGTTTTTATTTTTTCTAGAAAATCAGCACTATGAAATGGACTATTAATCGATAAATCTATTATAAAATTTAATAAAAAAAAAAAAAGCCTTAATCATATTATTTTCTATAAAAATCTTTTACTTTTCTTATATAAATCTTCATAATTCGATAAAATATAATTTGCTCCTTGTTGTAATAAAACATTATTATCTCCTTCAAATGTACACGATGGATCATTATCATCTCTTATAATACCAAAACCACTAGCTAGAACAAAACAAAAAAAAAAAAAAACAAGAATATTCTAATCAAAATTTAAAATCTTTCTTGACTTTTTCTTTTTACTTTACCATATAAATAACCATGACCGCCACATGCTTCTCGACATTCTTGACACGCTTTTTGTGTATTCCATGTACATATAGCTTTACATGTACATGATAAGGCATGAATCTCTCTACCCATATCAGCAAGTAAATCTCGATCATTTTCATCTGATGACATTGATAATACATAAAATTCAGTTAAATTATCAAATACAGATAATGCTAAATTTCGATAAATATACAGTGATGCAACTATTGGAACTAAACGCCAATTCTATAAAAAAAAAAAAAGAAATTTTTCTTTTTTTTTTTTGAAATACAAAATCAAACTGTAGAATAGAATATTTTGAATAAAATTCAACAGAAAAAAAGAAAAAAAAAGTTATTAATATAATTTCTACGTTTCCATTAGCAATTTAAAAACATCTGTCATGAAAGATATTATTTATTTCTATTTTATAGTGATTTTTAAAAGAAAGTCAAAAAGATAGATAATCTTAAATTTAAATTTCTTTCGTAATAGAAACTCACAGAAGACTTTAGTTCACAAGGTTAAATTTACCATAGGTTATGACGAAGAAGAGCGTTACTAACATATCTGTCATGGTTCTTTAGTAGTATTTGTCACGGTTTCCAATGGTCTTTTATTAGTGTCTGTCATGGTGAAGGTCTTTAAAATTTCTATCCTTGTACTTTAACATTCATATCAGATTGTATTTAATAAAAATTACTTGTGTTTGATATTCAATTACAGGAATTTCTATACCAGATGATGGTCCAAATTGTTTTCTAACACATGAATATCGAACAGCAATTGTTATACATTTAATTAATAAACCAATAGCCATACTACTTATACCAACACGACCTGATGAAAGAGCACCAAGACTTGCACCAAATCGTTTATTTGATGACTAAATGATTTTTTGAAAAAAAAAAACAAAAAAGACATATTAAGAGTAGTGTCACATATCCAAGATTTTGGAGATGCCACCACATCTCCCGTGGGAGATGCCGCGTCTCCAGCGGGAGACCCGACACCCACATTCGAGAGATGTGGTCATTCACCACTGGAGATGTAAGATCTCCTTTAGAGATGCGCATCCCCCACACCCACACCCGCATCTCTCGCGCGAGATGCGGCATCTCCCGCGGGAGACGTGGTGGCATCTCCAAAATCTTGGATATGTGACACTGCTGTTTATTTTTGAAATAATATTTCGATAAATAGCTATTGTTCGAAAATGTTTTAAGAGATTGATTAGTAAAACTATTTTATAGAATTTTGGACTGATCATACAATTAAAATAACAATCAATTATGAATTGATTATAAATATATCATTGTTCAAGATTGTTTAATTATTTCATTGAAATTAGAAGTATGATTCGAATTCAAACAGGACAGATTCTATTCATCAATAAGAAAGAATAGATTATTTTGAAACAGTCTAGATACCAAGATCTTTCCGTCTTGAGTTTCAAGAATAACTCTCTTACTATTTCGAAGTTAAATGCAAAAATGAATCTTTTTTTCATTTCAGCATAAGAATAAACTGGTAGAAATGCTTCCGACGATACTCTAATCATACAATCACAATACGACTAATGTTATATGATCTTTTCGGGATTCTATCAGTTGACTTATAAATAATAAACTTCTCCGAATTTTAATTATAACTTTTTTTTTTATTGTCAACTCTTAGATCTGATTATTTCGTTCAAAGATGTTCCGTTAAATTTTCTTTAAGAGCTTTAAAGAAAGTTTCTATCAAACAAATGTAAAAAATGTTTTTATGTAAGATCAATGAATTTTATAATCAATTGAAAAATTTTTTTGAAAAAATAATCATTTATTTACTTTAAATGGAGTTTTATAAGTTCCATCAGGTAAAACATCACCATGTTTATTAAGTAAATTTTCTCGTCGAATACGATAATTTCGAAAGATTAAAAATCTAAAAAAAGAAAATTTTACATATTAATTTTTAATTAATATATATATATACCCATTATCAAGTCCATTCCATCCACATTTTCCTCCAATATCACCAGCTTCAACACCATCAAATGTTTTATATGTTAATGGATCACTTTAAGAAAAATAAATTTTGTTTTTATTATATTTATATTTTAATGTTATAATGAAAATTTACCGAATAGGAACAACAAATAAATGAAGACCATAACATATATTATTCGTATAAAGTTGAGCATAAACAATAGCATGTGTTGCATGATAACCCAAATTTCTAAATATTTTGAATACAAAAAAAAAAAACAAAATTCTATTTAATATTTACCCAACCCAAAATTTCATTGCTTCAATATCAGGTGTATTTAATATAAATTTCTATTTAACAAATCATAATTTTTAATATTTTTTCTTAAAAGAATTTTCTATTCTACTTGAGTTGATGAATCATATATAGCTGTTGTTCTCATTTCTTTTGTATTACTACCATGAGATAATTCAGTTAATGCAAAACATCCAAAAATCTATATAAATTTCATGAGAAAATTATTAATACAAAAATAAACATATGAATTTTACTTGTTCATGTTTATCTAAATCAAGTAAATATTCATGTCGTTGTGTACCTAATTTACGTATTGTTTCACGAAATACTGTTATATGTAGTCCATATTTTGCATGACATGATGAATCGTACATAGTTAAACATTGTTCAAGAATTATTTTAAAACGTGGATTTTCAAATAATTCATCATCTGTTAATAAATTTAATTTAATTAATTCTTTATAACGACGATAAGTTATATGTCGATATTCTTCAATTGAAAGTGGATATTGTGTTTGATGAAATATTGAATTTGAATTTAATATTGACCAAAGTTTATTCTATGAAACAATAAAATAAACTTTTAATTAAATACGACAAAATAAAAACAAAACAAATTAGAATAATTATACTCGATATTCTTGTGATGTTTCATCTTCGAATATATTTCGCATTTGTTCAATACAAAACGATGCTCGACTACGATATTCATCAAGCATATTTTTAGTTTATTCAAAATATGAATAAATAGATAAACTCATGAACTGATAGATAGATACCAATTATTCATTATCTTATTTGAATTGTTAATAACCAATCAAATAAAATTCAATGAAACATAGAAATCTAAAAGAAAATATTTTTTTTTGTTAATATTCATAGTGAAATTCTATTGAAATTTTTACTTATCAAAGTTTATTAAAGATGTCTCTAATATTCAAATGAATGACATTGTTGTAAAGCAATATGTTATTCGAATTGTCTTTCTTTGTTTTATAATTATATTCAGGATTTGCCTAAGGCAATCAACATTGCCTGGAGAGTGTCACTCTCCTTCGTTGAATCATCTTTAATTATATTGTTTAACCTACGTTCAGAGAAAAAAAACGATAATTTATTCAAAGAGAAAATTTTTATCTGATATCCAAACATATGTAGAGAATTTTAGAGTAGAAACAGACGATCGGTCGTATTTCCGAGAAATTTTTCTCCAGCAAAAAAAGAAAAACAAACAAGTTCAAAAAGATGATCCTGTACTTTCTATTGTAAAATGTCAAAGAAGATAAATTAATTGTTTTCCGATGAATAATTTTACGTAGAATTGTTTGAAATATGCATTCCTTTTTCATGTTGAAAAAGTCAATTGTTGCTTTTTGAAATAAAAAAAAAAACAATCGATTGTAAAGACTTACATTCAATATCGGTACAGCCCGTTGACGATGGTTATACTAATTATACTACGAGTAATCGACGGCTTTACAGGTCTATCCAGTTCTTTAATTAAATGAGTTAATATCAGATGACTTTTGGTGAAGGTTAGATTCACTTCTGCCAATATATAGAAATTATGAAAAATAACAAGTACATGTCAAAAATAGAGAAATAAATTTTCTGATAAGTATCACTTCAAACATTGTTTCTTTAGTCAAGACTGTTGTTTGAATAAACAGATCATAATTTTCTCGCAAGATTCATTTAAATCATAGATTGATATTACTTTTCTAGACAAGACTTTTGTATTCTTGAAAATCCCGACTGATCTTTGAGATTCAGATATAGTATTTTTTTTTACGTTAATATGATTTTTTCCTATTGTTACTATTCCATATTTACTAGATAATTTGAATAAAATACAAAAAAAATTTCATTGCATAAAACGTATAATAAAAAGAAAAGATAAACAAAATCTAAGAATTTCATCTTCAAGAAAAAAGCAAAAAAAAAAAACAAATAATCAAAGTGATCTCCTTTGACATTAAAGACGCATACTTTTCATAATTCATCGTGTCTTCATTTTCATCATCACAAACTAATAAATATTCAATTATTGTCCAAATTGTTCATTTTGATTGACCTTGTATTGATTACTTCAATGACTTTTGTTCATTATATTTGAACATGATTGTAAGTCTCTATTGATGTAATAAAATTTATATTAAATAAAATAAATATTAACTGTAGTAGCGTAAAAATGAATAATTAACTTTTAGATATATGTATGTACATGTATGTATGTAGATATATATCTCGTTCTATTTAAGTTCAAGGTTTGATAAGAATCTTTTAATTTAAAAAAAAGAGGCTGAACCTTGTTTGAACGTCAAGGAAGCGCAGATGTACCGTAATTATTTCCATGTTCACTTTTTTTTTAAAATCAATGACTCTTTTCATATTGAATCTTAATCAAGGTTTTTTTTTCTAAATATCTTGTTAAGCCATAATAGTCGAGGGCAAGTTTTGAAGATACAAAAGAAAAAATCGAATGTTTTGTGAGGTCAACTAAATGTCGAGAAATTAATCTTATAGAAGACAAAAGAAGCATCTCATGATCTCGCTAGTAATTGTGGCTTTTGGATCTACTATTGCAATAGTTCGTAGAACAACTAAAGGAGCCAAGTATTTGATCATATAATATTTCATAACGTTCTGACAGAATGCCAACTGCAAGGAGTCGCAATGACTCAGGAAGTTGTTTGCAAAAACTATCGAATAAGTTCATTAAATAGCTTGATGTTATGCTGAACGATATCACTCAAAAATATAGACAGAATAAATATGAGCAAAAAACTATGAATTTTAAAAGCTCCGTTATACTATCTGATAGTCACATAAGAAGAATTTGATTTTTACCTTATGATTTATACGACTATATTAGTTATTGTATATGAAGTTTACAATACCAATTATTGCAATGTTCTGGTCAAAGGATATTCAACTTTTTAAGAGTTAATAACAATCGAACTTGAACTTAAAAAGAAAAATGAACTGCTACCGATCAATCAAGAAAATAACTAATAAAAATTTTTTCTATAATTTCGATCGATTAATTATTATTTTTATAGATGTTCTGATGTTTATTCATCAATTGAGTTTTTGTTTTTAAAATTTTTTTATGTTTAGATAATTTATATGATTTCGTATGGCTAATAAAAATAAATGATACATTTTATTTTTATTTTTATAGTATAGATCAAACATTACTTGTAGTTTATTTATTTATTTTTCAAAACATCAATTGCTTGACAAAAAAATTCTGTTGAGTATATGTTGATGAACTATAGGCTATTATTATATTTTTCAGTAAAAGCTATTGGCTTAGTTCTTTTTTTTTAAATGTAAAATACTAAAAAATTAATAAAATTATATTCAAAACTAATAATAATATATTTAATAAAATGAAAAAATTATGTGATATCAATAGTATTATTTATATTTTAATTATCCTATGTTCTTTTGTAGAGAGAAAATGGTTGTTGAAAAACCAAGAATTCACATTTTATACTAAAATAAAAACATAAAAATAATATTATTTCTACGAATTAATATAAACATCTCGAAAAATATTCTCTCATTCTATTATTATTTAGCTACCTACGGAAAAATTTTTCAAGAAAAAACCGCGAAAGTCAGACCGTTTATGCGGTTTTTGCAGGTCTAACCGCATTTTTTTCTGTTCTCACCGCGAGATTACAAACCACGGTCTCAACCGGTTTTTAAAAGACGCATGAAGGGTCTGACTTTTGCGGTTTTTCAAAATGCGTAACAAAACCGCGGTTAACCTCAGATTACTGCGGTTTTTTTTCTGAAGAATTTTTCCGTAGGTAGTTTCATGTAAATATTCTACTAATTGAAAATTTTTCATTATATTGATTCCTAGACAATGCAAATTGTTCGAGAACTTTTAGTTTTGAACTTTGTCAATATCGAAAGTTTTCTGATCAAGTGTCATTTAATAGTTAAATTATTTCTCGAAATATATATTTTATTTAACAATAGTATAGTTGAAATCTCTAGGAGTCAATAGATATTGATAAAATACTCATATGATTCTCACACGGACAACAAATCGCCAGTAGTAGATCATTCAGTATAGTTTGTACTATACTTACTATAGTCGTCAGAAGTGATGAAAAACCGCAAATAATTCAATATTTAAATGGTCAGCTACTTTTAGACAGGGACGCAACCAGGAATCTTTTCCGAGGGGGACTGTCATAGAGAAAAAGTGAGTATTTGCTTGTGAAAACGAATAAGTCTGTACACCCCTCCAATGATTTAAACCTTCCAGGAGGGATTGATTCCCCCAATCCCTCCCTCTGGTTTCGTCACTGCTTCTAGAGCTTGTCGGTTCCAAAATTTATTTTTGAAATATATTCAGTAGATAATGACATCTATTATTATCGTTCAAGATGAGTTATAATTTATCCAATAGGTTTCTATCTAAATACAATAAATAATAATATATAGTGTAGAGCCAAAAATGTATTTGTTGACTTTTTCAATGCAGTTCAATAGGTACAATCTTAAGAATTAATTTATCTTTTGTTTTAGATATCTTCAACTAAACTCAATATGCAGACTATTATTAAATTAGCTCCTCGAACGTAAAATTATTTTTCTTTTTTATATAAAATTTTATTTATTTTGCGGTTTCCTTTTCTTTTTATAGTTTAGTTCCAGCATTATCTCGTTGTTCGAAACATACATTACCTGATTTACCATATGATTATAATGCATTAGAACCGGTTATTTCTGGTGAAATTATGAAACTTCATCATCAAAAACATCATGCAACATATGTTAATAATCTTAATATAGCCGAAGATAAATATAATGAAGCAAAAACAAAAAGTAATTAATTAATATTGATGTTTTTATAATTTCAAAATTTTTCATCTTTCTATATTTAGATGATCTTACAACAATGATTCATCTTCAACCAGCTATTCGTTTTAATGGTGGTGGTCATTTAAATCATTCTTTATTTTGGCAAGTACTTTGTCCAAAACAAGGTGGTAATCAACCAACAGGTGCATTAGCTGAACAAATAAAAAAAGATTTTGGTTCATTTGATAAAATGGTTACACAATTATCAAATGCAAGTGTTGGTGTACAAGGTAGTGGTTGGGGTTGGTTAGGTTATAATAAACAAGATCAACGTTTACAAATTGCTACTTGTTCAAATCAAGATCCATTACAAGCAACAACAGGTAATAAAAAAAAAACAAGAAACGATTATGTTTTATTTTTCAATATAATTTTGATATATATGTATATATATATCTCTTAAGGTCTTGTACCAATATTTGGTATTGATGTTTGGGAACATGCATATTATCTTCAATATAAAAATGTTCGTGCTGATTATGTCAAAGCCATATTTGAAATTGCTAATTGGAAAAAATCTGATGAACTTTTTCAAAAAGCTAAATAGTGAACTAAAATTGTTTTTTTTTTTCTTTTCTTTTTCTTTTTTTATTTATCCATTAGTCATGCCGTAGAAAATACAAAATTCACTTAAAAAGAAAAACAGAACGAAAAACTAACGATTTAAAATAATAAACAAGAGAAAAAAAAAATTATATACACGTGAATTATCTGTGAATGTAAGCGACTATAAGAGAAAGTTATAGCATAATAGATGTTGTTTTTTATTTTGGTGTTAATAATCGTCCTTTTTGAATTGCTTGTTCGAGTAATTTTTGTTTTTTACTTCGTTTAAATGTTCGACGAAACCAATTTTGAAAACTTTTTGTTATATTCGTATAACCAAGACCATCAGGTACACCACCTTTTCGAGCATCACATACAGCCCATAATTCATTCGAATGACGACGTTCAATTGCTTGAACAACACATCCACCACGAAAACCTGATATTGTATGACCTTTTGCTAGAAGACCATGAACAACATTCTAAATGTAGATAATTAAAAAAAAACAAACCTAAAACTAAAAGAAATAGTTTATAACATACAACAGGAAAACGTTTTTCTAATTCAAGTTCCATTGGTATAAGTTGTTGATGTATTCGAGGCATATCAACAGCATCACGAATACTTTTACCAAGCCATAGATTATAAATAGCTACTTGAGAAACAGAAGAAATAATTCGACTACCACCAGAACCACCAGCTGTAAAAATAACATCACCACTTGAATCAGTTACAAGTATTGGACTCATAGATGACATTGGACGTTTAACTAAAAACAATATTTTATAGATAATTATTTCTAAACAATATAGAAATATTAAATTATTATTGTCTTTTTTTTGAAATTAAAGCCATCATAGATATTATACTCATTAGTGATTAGAATTTAAACGGATCGTTCTTGTTCATAAAAAATCAATACATATTAAACTGAAATTATAGAATAATGAAAAGTATTTTTCTATTATCATTTTCAAAAATTTTCGATTTATTTATTGCGATTTGTTTTAAATAATATGATCTTGTTTTGCGTTTGATTTTCACTTACAAGGTTTTATAAAATTAGCTGGACTTGGTGCATAACCATAATAATTCGCTAAACCTGGTTGAGAAAAATCATCCATTTGATTATTATAAATAATACCTAAAAATTATTCAAATTCTATATTTCAGTTTTAGATAAAAAGAACCTTAACTCACCGGTATTACGTCCATAAACAACAGCACCGAAACTAAAAACAGATCACATTCATGCTTTGTTTTTTTTTGGAAAAATACAATATAGATTTACTCTGTATTTATTGTACTTGTAGCTGCTACAGCATTACCATCAGCATCAATAACTGAACAATGACTAGTTCCATGATCTATAGGAAATATCCAAGTAATATTTTTTTTCTTTTTATAATTAGTAAATTTCATACCTGTTTGAGGTTCAAACATTGGTTCATAATAATCAAGTGATTGAGCTTTATTTTCATTAATTAATCTACGAATTTCTTCGGCATATTCAGGAGATAGTATTAAATGAAGTAACTAAATAAAATATTCTTTTCTATTTTTCATCAAAGCAAAAAAAAAAAGGAAATTTTTTGTACTTTTTCAATTTCTTGATTTTTATCTGTTTGTGAATCATATTCATCACCTAATGCTGATCGTTTACCATAAGCAAATTTAAATACTTCATTAAGAATATGATAAAATCGTACTTGTTTTTCATCAGTATCTAATGATTGTGGAGTTAAACCATAACCTAAAATTTTGAATAAGATTTTTATTTTGTTTGTCTTTCTAGTATTAAACTTTTTTTTTTTTTTACTTACCATCCATTACTTTAAGAATAAGTAAAGTTATTGCAGAACTAGCTGGTGGTGGTACACCAAAAACTTTATAATTATTTTCTAATGTAATACTTATAGCTGGTTTAACACGAGCATGATAAATTTCTAAATCTTTTCGATTAATAATTCCATTATTTGCTTGAATTTCTTCACATATACCATCGGATAATTCACCTTCATAAAATGCACTTGGTCCTTTTTCAGCAATTATTGAAAGTGTTTGACCAAGACGTGGTCGATATATTGTATCACCTAATCCATAGACAAGATTTGAATCACCTTTAAAAAATACTCGTCTAGAATAACAAAAAAAAAAATCTTTTCATTATGTTTTTTTTTTCTTTGTTATTTTGAAATCTTTACCTCATAGATTTATCTGCCCATAATTTATCTTTATTTTTTAGAATACTAAAAGCAAGAGCTTTTTGTATCATAAAACCTTCATTACACATATCAATAGCTGGTTTAAACAAAGCTGACCATGGTAATTTGCCATAAATTTTATGAGCTTTCCAAAAGCCAGCTATTTCACCTGGAATACCAATTGATAAACCACCTAATTAATATAAAATAATTCATATGAATAATTGTCTTGATCTTTTCCATTAATAATTTACCTGATACTGATGATGGTCGTGGATTTCCATCAACAAACATTCTTGGATGAGTATTCGATGGTGCTGCTTCACGTGCATCAATAGCTACACATTCTTTTTTTGAACTAAATAATGTTCATAAATTTTTGAAAAGAAATAAAAATTACGCACACACTTACACATCATAAATATTCATAAGAAATCCACCACCAATACCAGTTGAATGACAATTATGTACACCAACACAAAGAAGTACAGCTATAGCTGCATCAACTGCAGAACCACCCAAATTTAAAATACGTCTTTATATTGAACAAATTATTTAGAGAATTTAATTAAGAAATGAAAAATAATACTTTTGTACCTTCCAACTTTAGATGCTTCTTCGGAATCTGATGCAACAGCTCCAAATTTACATCTCATAAATGATGATTCACCTTCAAAACCATAATTTTCTACTCCCGGTAAATGGATTTGAAATTCTATATTAATAAATATATATATAAAATCATTTTAAAATTTCTATATACAATACTGTACAAAATTATTAGAACAAGATAATTTTAATTTTATTTTACGATGCTATGTATTTAATTATAATCTAAATAATGATTTAGTTAATCCATTGAAGTTCTCTATCATATATACAAATATATCAAAATTTCATAGTTGGACTATGTTGAAAATGCATTCTGAAAAAACTCAACACAGCAGGTTTTCAGATCCTTGAAGATGTAATACTAGTTTCGTTTTTCACAGTACTTTCTGAAGGACACAAAATTATTAATTAAATGAGAAACCGTCTAGGTTTTTATGACCTTCACTTATAGAGGTGCAAACATTACAAATAAAAAATATGTACTTTTTAATGATTCTTAATGAACTGTTGTTTTTTTTAAGATGCTTTGTAAGGAAAGCTCGTTAAGAATATAAACACTACATATTCTGTCCAGAGGTTTTTTCTTTGTATTATTTCATATGGTAGTGTTTAAAAATGAACTTCCATAATATCTTGTAAAACCTAAAAATTACCGTGTTTCGTTTTTTTTTGTTCGAAAACTTTTGCATATTGCTTAACTATGAAACTTTGATGAATTTGAATCATTATTTAGATTATAATTAGACGTACGATATCATATAATAAAATTCAATTCATGTTTGTTCTTATAACTTTGATCAATATTGTAATTCTTACTTGGACGAACAACATCCGGCGTTGTATTAGTTAATGAAAATGAAAATAAACGATAAGAATTATTATAAATTCTAATCTAAAATGATATCAACTATTTGTACTTGATAAAAATTTTTTCATTTATATTTACCTTTGTCAATAGTCGTTGTGTAGCCATAGCAAGAAAAAAAACGAAGATACTTATGAATCAATATGACTCCACAGATTAAAAAAACATATTATTATTATCTAGAAAGGTCACACAGAAATTTATAGTAAAACATCATCTTTAGGATGGTGGGTGTGTCATCTAGTCGTCATATGCTCTTTTTCTCTCTCTAAATAAGAAACGTAATACAATCATATCTTTTTCTCTCAGCATATTTGCGATGATGTCTCTCCGTATATAAGTAAAATTGTTTGCTGTCTGCCCACGCTACCAATGAATAGTGGTTTTTCCTCTCTCTCTTTCTCGTATTATATTCTGTTTCTTTTTCAATCATGACCTCATTGTGCACTCAGGCACATGTATGTCTTTTTTTTTTCTTTTTTTGTTTCTGCTTCTTGTCAAGCACAAGGCTTTCTTTCGTATTGTTATTTTGAGTACATGTACACGAAGAGAATGAACCAATAGAAATAATTAATGATAGATTTTGTACTTTAATATTAATGAAGCATAAAAAAAATAAAAAATACGACATTATTAGAATCATTAAAATAAATATTTACTTTGACTAAGTTATGATTTTTGTGCAACACACAAATAATATCAAATACGAAAATTAATATTGATGAGAAAAAATGATGTCACTGTTCTTTTTTTTTTTTAGTTTTTACTTCCTCGAAATATTTGAAATGATGATTCACATGATATCATTTTATTTTTAGATTTAATTTTTTTTTTTGTTTATCTTATCATGTCCGATCGTTTAACTCAATTACAGGATGTAGTTAATGTATTAGCTGATCATTTATGTAATGCAACTGGTGTTCTTCAAGAAACAGCACGACCAAGTCGTTTTGGAAATTTTGAACAAAATTCATCGACAACAAATTCTAATGTTGGTAATAATGGTGATGATTATTCACAATTATTTGCAACATTAATAACACGTACAACAAGTGAACTTGTTGCTTTAATTGATTCTTTACCAACAATACCATCAACGGAAGATGATCTTACACAACAACATAGACAATTAGAATTATTAGAACAAGAAAATCTTGAAGCAGCTGCTAAATTAGAACAAACAACAGAATTAGCAGAATATCTTCTAGAACAAGTTCAAACATGTTTACAATCATTATCTCAAGCTATACTTGATGAAAGAAAAAAATTTCAACATTGATAATAATTGTTTCAATAAAGCAAAAAAAAACAAAGAAATTCATTGTATTATTAAATATGTTATAATAAATGTAGATAAATTACAAATCTATTCAAAACAGAATCATATGATTTTTAATAATTTTTGCTTATGATTCAGTAGAATTACTCATGCACAACATGACATCAGCAATGATTCATCTAGTTGATACACAGTCAGTGATTTATCTAGTGGATGGGCTGAATGGGTAGCGTCTACCCGAAATTTTGGTTCGTCTACTCGAAAATATACAGCAGTCATTCATCTACTGGATGGGCCGAGTGGGCGCCGCCCATCGGAAATTTCGATTCGCCTACTTGGAAAACGAGGTCTAGATAAAACATTGTACCCAGTGGAAGTGTAGAAAAAGTACAAGGGATCATTTGAGATCCATTTATAGAAATTAGTTGTTTGAAGTAATAAAAACATAAGATCAAGACGATTCTTGAGCATGGTGTACAGACTACAATAAGCTACGAATTCGAAAAGAACTAAATCTTTTTTCATCATTCCATAGCTAATATTTATGAATTGAAAATGGTGTTTTTTCAAAAAAAAAAATGAAACAATCGTTTTTTCTATTTATTTATACAGGGTGGTTATTGTAATGTTTGACATATCGGTATATCTATAACTAAGGATATTATTTATTTTAAGAGTAGTTCGTAAAAACCTCTTGGTTACAGATATGAAAGCATCATTTTTTGTTACAACTTCCATCCGTTTTGATCCATTCTTAATGAATAACACAAATTTCAAGCTAAAAATTTCATTGGAACTAGTAGTTAATTAAAAAGCATTTCACAATCATTTTTAGATAAATTTTTATCGGTAAAAGATTGAAACCGGTAATCTTTATTATGGCCTACCTTTTGGATGAGACGCGAACGATAGTAATGTGTAATTTTGAATCAAAATCAGAACCAATAATTCCAAATTATGAAAATGAAATGAAGAATAACGATATCGAGATGAACCTAGAAATGAAAAACATGCTTTGTCATCTGAAAAGAACTGTTTTTAGAGTGATCTAACCGTATATCTTTTTTCAAAAAGAAAAAAAAAAATTTTATGTCATTCAAGATGAATGAGTCGTATTTTAGCCACTCGGTATCTTCACTGTGAAATGACTTCACTGAAATTAAGCTATAACAGTATCATAACAAAAGCATCTATTTAAGCAATTTTAGTGGCTGACTCAATGTCAACTCTACTGGATGATTGTCAGAGTGGAAAAAGTTAAATGAATGTAGTGAGTGACATTTTAATAATTAAATTTGTTCTTAAAATGGATCTTATACATGTGTGATATTAGAATTTATCTTTCGTACTATGAAATAAAAATCAATATCATAGCTATAGTAAATATTTGTTTTGACATTGATACAGAATGATAAATGATTTAAGGAACAGATGCTGAAATCATAGAAACATGAAGTATATGTTTATTTTTACTGTTCGAACAAATGATTTAAAAGACAATTACATTCAATTCTACGAGCAAGTATCTTTTATGTATTTTCAATACAATGATATCTTGAATCATCTACACTGTTGGGACCAATCGAAATATCTTCGAATATAGCACTATATTTCATGAAAACAAATGAAGAAAAGAATACATTACTATCAGTAATCTTTGACGATGCTGTCGACCTCTATTCGAGTATAGCGTATGATCTTTCGTTCTTTAATAACCAATTCTTTCCTTATATAGAACGTATAAAGCGTTGAATTATGTCATAGTCATGTAATATAAGATTATAACTACACGATTGTAGCAGAAATACGTTATTTATTCTGCATCACATCGAAATAATGTAACAATCATCTATTATGTAATAAATCTAGACTTTCGTTTTCTTTGTTCAATATTTTCATGTATTTCAGAACTTTGCTTCAAACTTAACTTTTAGATGCAATTTATCTTTGATTTTTGTTTCCAAGAATAAAAAATTGACAGCTAATAGCTAAATTATTGTGAAATTCAAAACTGAAATTGATGGCCTACTTTAAAAAATCCCAAAATACGTTGCATAAGAGTTCAACAATACTTTATAACTACTCAGTATCAATGATTAACTACGGAAAATCGTACCGCTTACATTTATACAGAGTGATTGTGACCATTCAGTTATGTATGAAATCGGATGAAATCACATAACATAAAGATTCTTAGATATAAGAAACTCCAATCGATTTCTCTAGTGAAAAAATAAAACGTGTACATAAAAAGATAGCATCACGACAGCATGAAGGAGCAACTCTCTAAAATGAAATCATCCCTAATCAATAAAAGACATTGTCAATATGTATTTTCGTTCAAAATTTCCATTCCTCATTTTCATTCACTCTGTCCAACACGATAATTAGAGAGCTTGAGTGTAGCAAGTGTCTGTATGAACAATGAAGATAGTGAAGAAAAGCAACACTAGGGAATGTTTTATGACCATGCTGTTTGTCAATATATTGGCAAGACACTGGTTCCTTGCATCTTCTATTGGATTAGCGCCAAGGTCGAGTGTAGTTAGTGTCTATGTGCCATATGAATATTGTAACAAGACGAAGATGAATATCAGACGGTGTATTACCGTGTTGTTTGCAAGAGCATTGGCAAAATACGATGGCTCAGTGTCTTCGATCAAATTAAATTTCAGCTTGCATGTGGTGAGTGTCTGTGTGAAGATAGATAGAACAAGATGAATAGTACATCGTATATAAAATTTTTATTACAGAAAGCGTTGGCAAGATGCTATGTCCCTTAGTTTCGGATTTCATTTCACGAAAGATCGAGCATAGTGAGCGTCTGTGTGAAAAGTGGACATTTGTAAACCAAAAATGAGTAGTTAATATTCTTTAATCTTGTTGTTCGTGAATGTGTTTACAATATGTTGTGCCCGTGTATTTACGATTCGGTTATGTCCGAGATGTTTATTGTTTGATTTATCGAGTATTTTATAAATTAAAGTTTTTGTTTGTTAATTATAATTATCTATTCTTTTAACAGTCGATATGTTGAAATGTAAACTAATAAAAACATATACTATCATCGAAATATTTCAATTTCTACCGATAATTTTCAGTTCATAATTCTGCAAACAAAAAAGGAATCGTAAATACTTTAATAATCTTTGTTATATGATTCAAAAAGCAATCAAATCAACAATAGCTTTGTTTCCTACAATTATGGAAATAATCGATTTGTCATTATTTTTTTTATTTATTGGAATTTATTTTTCTTGATCAAATAATTAAATATTTTAACTAAAAATCTTTTTACGATGTAGATATCAACATTTGATTATCGTAAAAATCTAATATATGTGTTCTTTTCATATTAGAGTGGATCAAAATATATCTACAAGCACTTCATCTTGAAACTAACACTATTTCTTGGTATATATTATCATTTGATGACTCAAGTATTCAGAGTTATAGAATAAATATTTCTAGTAAAGTTACGCATAGGCACGTACTCACATAAAGTATTTATACGCTAGAAAATGCTGCACCCACACCCTCATAGTAGTTGTGCTGGAATTTTAGTGATTGAGTACGACAATTGAGTATTTTCCAGGTAATACTGAGTACATTGTGAGTACTCATATCTAATTTTTGTTTTCTACTAACTTGTGTAAAAGTACAACATTCGTAAAAAATGAATCAAAAAAAAAAATTATTCAAGGAAATTGAGAAACACTACAAGAAATAAACAATTAGTTTTGATTGCTACACAAAAATTGATCAATGCTTTTATTAGGAGAATCAAAAAGTTCTGAAAATTTTAAAAACGACCATGCCGGGTTTGGTAACCAATCCAGAATTAAAAAAACCAAACCCACCATGTTGTAGAGCAAGTCGAGGTGCGTCGAATGGTATATCACAAATCTTGTTTTCACAAAATTTTGAAAAAACCAGACGGGATTTACTGGTAGACACCCCATGGATTCAAAGACTCACTAACAGCCACTACCCGCGAAAAACGATGGTGGATTATCGAAAAATCGCATTTTTCCCTATCAAAGATAGGATGATCGGAGATGCTGAGTATATGAGTTTGTAGGCCGTGAAAAGCGCTACAAAACTGTATATAGGAAAATTATTTTTATAAACATTTTCCACTGATACCAAGACCCACAATGGTCAGTGCTTTCACTCGATGGTCGCCTACCAGTAAATCCAGTCTGGTTCCCTCAAAATCTTATGAACATAAGATTTGTTATATACCGTTCGACGTGCCTCGACTTGCTCTACAACATGGCATGTTTTGTTTTTTTTTAATTCTAAATAGGTCATCAAATCCGACACGATCCTTTTTTAAATTCTCAGAACTTTTTGATCCCCCTATGTAAATTGATGAATGCTTTTCATTGGGTACTTTAAAAAAAATCTGGATGTGGATCTTCTATCCTTCTATACTTGCATTCATAGCTTTATTTTTCCAAATCCAATATTTGTTATCACAAAATAACTGTTTTTTTTTTCTTTTTATTTTCTCAAGATCTTCTTGCATCAGGTAGAATAAGAAAAGTTTTATTTTCCTATAAAAACAGAAGAGAAATATCGAAATAGACAATTCATTTGATGCTTATACTTTACTTCAGTAAAGATACAGTCCTTGCTAAATGAATTATGGTTTTAATGATTTTCAAACATTTGAGAATACAGATACTATTCATTCCGAGCAGGTTTTTATCTCAAATTATTGTTTTCAACTATTAGTTATCAATAAAACTTACAGTGTTAATTTACATACATCAATCACAAAACTTTTATTCAATTTCTTAAAACATGCACTACTTTTTCATCAAGAAGATTGTAGCAATCAGAATCAAAGCAATATTAAATGTAATAAGCAGTTATAAAGGATCTAAGCCTTCATTGAAACGAGCATTACCTATGAAGCTAAGCTACACTTCATACACGTTTCAATTGTTATTTTCAAAGAGCTCTTATATCCGAAAAAAAAAACTATGCGTCTATTGATCATTCTGATGTGATAATTTTGCTTAAATTATCTTTCATTTCCTCACTATCATTCAGAAAACTATTGAACTTTCTAAAAAGAATTTTCAAGCTAAATTAAATCATTATTTTTATTGTTCGATTAGTCAAATTATATGACATAAGAAAAATATAACATCAATATTGAATGAAAGAACAAAAAATAGTCTAGACAATAAAAGAAATCAACGTAGGAAATAGATTTATGAAAGTAATTGACTATCTGGGTATGTAGGTGATTACTAGAGAAAATAACAGGAAAAAAGAAAATAGGGTCACAAAAATATAATAAAAACGTATTTTTTTTCTCTCATTTTGGTGTTAATAATCGTCCTTTTTCAATTGCTTGTTCGAGTAATTTTTGTTCTTTACTTCGTTTAAATGTTCGACGAAACCAATTTTGAAAACTTTTTGTTATATTCGTATAACCAAGACCATCAGGTGCACCACCTTTTCGAGCATCACTTACAGCCCATAATTCATTCGAATGACGACGTTCAATTGCTTGAACAACACATCCACCACGAAAACCTGATATTGTATGACCTTTTGCTAGAAGACCATGAACAACATTCTAAATGTAAACAATTAAAAAAAAAACCTAAAACTAAGACTAAAAGAAATAGTTTATATCATACAACAGGAAAACGTTTTTCTAATTCAAGTTCCATTGGTATAAGTTGTTGATGTAATCGAGGCATATCAACAGCATCACGAATACTTTTACCAAGCCATAGATTATAAATAGCTACTTGAGCAACAGAAGAAATAATTCGACTACCACCAGAACCACCAGCTGTAAAAATAACTTTACCATTTGGATCAGTAACAAGAATTGGACTTATTGATGTCATCGGACGTTTAACTAAAAATTTTGCATTGCTTTTTTTGTTTTCTTCATATTTCTCTATTGATACATAATACAACTTACAAGGTTTGATAAAATTTGCTGGACTTGGTGCATAACCATAAAAATTAGGTGAACCAGGCTTTGAAAAATCATCCATTTGATTATTATAGATAATACCTACGAAGAATATTTAAACAGATCATTACTATCACATGCGAAATAAAAGTCACTCACCAGTATTATGTCCATAAACAAAGGCTCCAAAACTAGAAAACAAAAATATTTTTTTTAAATTCTACTTTCGAACAAAGAAAAAAAAGGATCATCACGTTACGCAGTATTTATTGTACTCGTGGCAGCAACAGCATTTCCTTCGGCATCAATAATAGAACAATGACTAGTTCCATAATCTTCAACAAAACGATAAATTAGTATATTTTCTTATTTGGAATATTTTTATACCTGTTTGAGGTTCAAACATTGGTTCATAATATTGAAGTGGTTGAGTTTTTTTTTCATTAACTCGTTGACGAATTTCTTCAGCATAATGAGACGATAGAATTAAATGAAGTAACTAAACGAAAGCTTTTTTTTTTTTGTAATACTATTCTAAAACATCGAAGAAAAAAGAAACTTTTATACTTGTTCAATTTCTTGATTTTTATCCGTTTGTGAATCATATTCATCACCTAATGCCGATCGTTTACCGTATGCAAATTTAAATACTTCATTAAGAATATGATAAAAATTTACTTGTTTTTCATCAGTATCTAATGATTGTGGAGTTAGACTATAACCTAAAATATAAATAACTATTATTAATCTCTGTGAAAGTATATGATATAAACAAAATCATATATATTGTTACATATTAAAAATAGAATCTCTATTGTCACGAAACAACAACAGCGATATTATGAATATTTTTCTCTTATTAATAAAAATAACAGCTTCGTTGTGTGATTCATATTTTATCCCTTAGAGAATTCACTAAGAGTTTTTTTTTCTCTCATAAACTCTTCGTTACTTACCATCCATTACTTTAAGAATAAGTAAAGTTATTGCAGAACTAGCTGGTGGTGGCACACCATAAGCTGTATAATTATTTTTTATTTTAACCTTAAGAGATGGTTTCACTCGAGCATGATAAGTTGCCAAATCTTGTTCAGTAATTATTCCACCATGTGATTGAATTTCTTCACAAATACCCGTTGATAGTTCACCTTCATAAAATGCACTTGGTCCTTTTTCAGCAATAATTGCAAGAGTTTCACCAAGACGTGGTCGATAAATAGTATCATGTAATCCATATACTTCATCAGAATCACCTTTGAAAAAGACTCGTCTAAGATAAAAGAAAAAGAAAAAAAACAAATAATATAAAATTATTTTCTTTGATTTATGTTTGTCTATTTATATATAATAACCTGAATGGTCTATGTTTCCATAATTTATTTTTATTTTTTAGAATACTAAAAGCAAGAGCTTTTTGTATAGTAAAACCTTCATTACACATATCAATAGCTGGTTTAAACAAAGCTGACCATGGTAATTTGCCATATTGTTTATGAGCACTCCAATAACCAGCTATTTCACCTGGAATACCAATTGATAAACCACCTAATTAATATAAAATAATCCATATAACGATCGTCTTGAACATTTGTTAAATAATTTACCTGATACTGATGATGGTGGCGGATTTCCATCAACAAACATTCTTTGATGAGCTCTCGATGGTGCTGCTTCACGTGCATCAATAGCTACACATTCTTTTTTTGAACTAAATAATGTTCATAAAACTTTTGAAAAGAAATAAAAATTACGCACACACTTACACATCATAAATATTCATAAGAAATCCACCACCAATACCAGTTGAATGACAATTATGTACACCAACACAAAGAAGTACAGCTATAGCTGCATCAACTGCAGAACCACCCAAATTTAAAATACGTCTTTATATTGAACAAATTATTTAGAGAATTTAATTAAGAAATGAAAAAACAATACTTTATACCTTCCAACTTTAGATGCTTCTTCTGAATCTGATGCAACAGCTCCATGTGAACATATCATAAATGATGATTCACCTTCAAAACCATAATTTTCTATTCCTGGTAGATCAATTTGAAATTCTATATTATAAATATATGTATATTAAATATACGTTCAAAATTGAATTCTCACTTGGTGCAACAATATCAATATTATTAATTTTTGAAGAAAATGAAAATAAACGATAATTATTATTATAAATTCTAATCTAAATTATATTCAATATTTGTTTTCATAAATTTTTTTCACTTATGTTTACCTTTGACAAGAGTCGTTGTGTAGTCATTGTAAAATGATTTTTATTTAATAATAATGTATTATTAATTTTAACTCATGTTATTCTAGTTTTAGTGAATTTCGATAGATAAAAAAAAAATAAGAAATCATAGTCTTTTGAAAGAGTTACATTAGGCCACTAAGATTTCCCACTTTGCTTTTCCTTTCTCCTCCCACATTTATAATATTCTCTAGTGTTGCCGATTTTCTTCTTCTTTTTTTTTTGTCTTTTCTTTTTTTTATTGGCGCATGAACGCATTTGTTCTATCTCGGTCTATTCTATCGTTTCAATCACAATAGTTTTCTTCTTGTTATTTTTTTTTAACGAGCAAGTCAAAGGAAAAAAAAGCACAGGAGCCAAAGAAATTGGTTTCTATTAAGAACTTGTTTTCGTATAATACGATGGAACATGAAAGAAAGTAATAATAATAAAAGTTAATTTATATCAAGTATTCATGTAAAAAGCTCTCTAATAACGAGAATAGCCTTGAAAAGTAGCTATTATATTAAAGATTCTTTAGGAAAAATGACGAGAAAAAAAGTTGACATTTTCTATATTATTATCAATAGACTAGAAGTAATTTCTGACTACCATTTTAATTGAACACGAGAGAAGATTAATGTAAAGTTTTAGCAACATGCCAACCATTGGCATGTTATGAATTAATTATAAGAAAAGCTTACTGTAAACATTGCTGTCGATTCAGTCATCAGTTTATGAGAGATCCTTACAGTGATATATGATAAGATTTTTTTCTTCTTTTCTTTTTACTTATAGTGTGAAGAAATAGAAAGCATTAACAAGAAAATGAAATACTCTGTACCACTTCTGAATAAGTATGCCGTTGATCCTCTTTTATTTAAAATATGTCATGACAGTAATTTCATTGATTACTGTCAAAAATAGATTCTTATTAAAAAGACAAAATAATTAGGAAAAGTGTCAATAGAGATATAAGTAGAACTTCTTTTTGCTTTTTTTTATGATCGATAATTTAATTCGATTATAATATGTAGTGACTGTTTCTTTTCTTTTTTTTTTACTGAGCAGATCATTTACATAATGTTATGGATATTCTTCGACATACAAGTTGGATTAGTGATTTATGATTGGTAACAATCTTACTTTTGTTTTCTAGAAGAAAATTATACAAGAAAAATTTATGAAAATTTCTCAATGAATTTCGATTAGTCAAATAGTTCATATTTAATTAAAATTTCTTCTTAATTTAACGTTAGATTACATACAGCACTTCATATATTAACGATAATAAGGCTTCTGTTTGTGATATATTTTCTTACGAAACATTCAATCCAATTTCAAATAATATTATGAGTCTTCTGCTCCTTATATATTTTTTGACGGTTGATGGTTCTCGAAGACGATACAACTGATCAAACTGAAACTTTTATCGCAGATCGAGCACCAAAAATAAGGAGATATGTTTTTGAAAAAAACAAATTTGAAGTGGATTTTTTGCAGATTTTTCTAGAAAATCTTGGTTTGTTATAGTATTGCATTCTGATTGCTTACAACATCCATCTAACTTTATTCAATCGATCCAAAACTTTTACCGTTGATATTTGAAAGTATTCTCTAGAAGGAAAATTTGCCATATTCGTTTTTGACTTTTCTATTTGGATTTACAGGGTTCTAAAAGCCAAGATCTCGGCTTTGGCTCTCACTCTAATAATTCCAACTTGATCCGTTGTACCATCTTTTAGAACCGAAAAACAATTACGAAAAAGAGACAATTGTCCTTAAAATATTTCATTAGTAACAACAAAATCAACATCTATTTAAAAATAATCACAATTTCATTGTTCATGTTATAAAAGAAAAAAAAAAATATTAAAATCGATTTTCGTCAAAGTATTTGAATTTATTTTCAGAAACAATACTTGACCGAGCAGCAGACATTCGACGTGTATAAACAGATAACCTTCGTTGTATATTATTTTTATCATCATTATCAACATCATTAACAAAACGAATTTCTTCTATATGTAATTGATTAAGAAATGCTTTGCGAAAAAAAACAAATGTTGGATTTTGTGTAAGAAAAACAGCTAATTTCCATTTACGTACATATCTTGATTGAGATTTTGGTTTTATTTCATATTTTTCATCGGCTGTTAAATCATGAGAATTTATCATATTCATTTTCAATTCCTTCATTTTACTTTGAGTATAAAGAAGTGAAACAACAACTAACATAACTGGATGTCGATGAGCACATTCAGTATGTATAAAACCACAATAAGCACTAAAACCACCATCCAATGTTTCCAATTTACGACCTAACGGTGAATAATCTAAACGACACATATAAGCAATACCAGCAATAATACTTTTAATTAAACGAACTATTGAAGAAATAAAACCAAGAAAAGCATCAAGAAAAAAATTAAAATAAATAAAGATCATTAAGCAACGACGATTATTTAATGCAAGAACTTCTCCATAATGTTGTAAAAATATATATTGTGCAAGAATTTTGTTAAGATATTGTTTAAAAAATACAAATAAAAGACTTGGTATAACAATTTTCAATATCATTTCAATTAATCGAACACTTCCATATGTAATAAATGCATCAATACATAGACATAATATGAATGAAAATACTGCTATAATCATATAACCCCATATTAAATAGCCAATAAAATATCCAGCAAAATGAAAATTTCCTGCTGCATAAGAAACATAATGTGATCGTTGTCGTCGTGGTATTTCACTATCATCACCACGAAATGATTGAAATGAATTTCTACGAATATTAACAAGTAATACTAATAATTGTATAATTATTATAATTAATGTTAGAAATATAGCAAATAAATAAGGTCTAATTAATGATGGAAGTGGAAAATTTGAAGTATTAGAACTTACACTTTCACTATCAGTATTCTCGGGTTTAGAAATAAATATTGATGAAATTAAATCAGCTATTATTTGAATAGCTTGTTGAAGATCTGCTAATAAAGGTAGAACTTGTACACATGCTTGAATAGTAACAAAATATAAAAGAAGAAAAATTGATGAATAAAGACAAATAATTCGTGTTGAAAAACGATAATCATCTCTCCATTCATAAATTTTTGTTGGTATTAAACGAGCAAATAATGCTTGACTTTTTGAACGATTATTAGCTGAATGAAATAAATTTTTAACATAAAGCATTTCAACTGAATTTGATTCAGATATACCAATAATTATTCTTTGTTCTCTTGTTAATTTCATTAACATTCTCTTTTCTAATGGTAGATTTTTTTTATATCGAAAAGAAATTTTTCTTATTAATAACATGGGTATTTTAACATTAATATAAGCTAAACATAAAAATCTTGGTATATCTGTACATAATTGTATGGCAATTAAATTAGGACCAGTACCAAAATAATCAAACATATTAGTAATAGTACTTGCATTTTTCAAATAATCATCGTATTTTGGATAAAAATCTGATTCACACATACCTTGATCAATTATCGTTATTGCATAGTCAAGCCAAGCATATATTGTTGCACATGCTAATACAAAAATTGTATTTAAATAAACAGCGGCTAAAAGAGCATAATAACGAACACCCATAATTAATACCTCAAGAACACGTAGAAGATAAGTAATAATAACACCTTCACCTTTTGCTGCAGTACCGTTAATTACTGTTATCATTATAAGTAATAATTCATCCGCACATACAGCAAAAACAACAGCAGCAAATTTTCGATCAACATGAGAAAGAAAATCAATAGGCATTGGTGGTGCTCCATATCCATAACATAGATTGGGCACTAATGATGTTCGTTTGGTTCTTATTATAAGTATAAGAATTAAAAAACAAGCAACAGGAAATGTTATAACATTGAATTCTTGAAGAGACATAGTATCACAAAAAGAATTTGGTTTATAATAAATTGATTGATTGGTAAGATATTTGGCAGCTACTTCATTATGTATTGGTTGTATTAATGACCATTTTGAAATAAGTGCTACAGCAGTCAAGATTATTGTTAAACAAGCAATCAAACATGAAGATATATGAGCTGATTTTTTAGCATTTTTTAATGCAAGATCAACTAGTGTTGAATTTTGTGAGATATCTCTAGATTTATCAATTAATAGAAAGAAAATAAAAATAAATGCTTACTTTTTCTTATTCTCTTTTGATTTTCGTCTTTTGTTTCGAATACAATGTATAATTTGTAAACCGTAAAAAACTGCCATAAGAAAAGCTAATATACAACCAAGTGCAATAACTTGTTTTCCACTACTTGTTTGTTCATCACATAATGTTCCGTTCCACCAAAATTTGCATTCACATGTCCACTCACCATATGAATTATCACGACAATATCCATATCGACCACATGGATTATACATTGAACAATCTTAATAATTATAAATACAACAAATGAATTGTAAAAATTCAACTTTTTACTTAATTGTCCATTGATAACAGTGATTGATGAAAAAAAAGCAACGAGTAGCATGCTCACTGTTGACATCATGTTGAATGACCCCCCTAGTAAAAATAATACACGTTTCAATAGATTTATTTTCTATGCTCTCTTGACAACACGCTTTTGAAAGTGTAACTAAGAAAAACCAATTATTAGTCGAACATAACTCTTTTTTTTTTCGTATGAATAAGTAATAAACAAAAAAAAATTGTTTGCAGAAAAAAAGAACGATGGCACAATCGAAATAAGTTGGCAATGCAAACTAATCATTTTTACTTTCCTTCACTTTATTCTTATTCATACCAAATATTCAGAAGAAAAAAAACACACAGTTGAGGACGTCATAAACAATCGCATCAACGGAATCAAAATGTTATTAATGATTATATAAAAGAGTATATATTGATGGTCATACATTTGGTATCGCCTTCTTTTTTGTAAAGAAATTTATGTCAAGCAAACCTTTAAAGTAGTCTATGTTTGTTACATTCTGAGTCTTAATCTCAGTTGAACGATAATGTATTGATTTAATCCTGTTTTTTTTTTCTCAAGAACATATTCAAATAAGTTTGTTTTTAAGTTGTCAATAATAAATTTTCGTTACAACATTTTTATGCGAACATTAAAAGCAATCTGTTTAATATAGTAATTATAAAAAAGTCAAACGCGATAAACAGTGACATAAAATGTCGAGTGGTTTTTTTTATTCAAAAATATGTATTGAAAAAAAAATTTTTTTTTTCCAGCCGTCGGCAGAATATTTTTTCTTTTTCAAACAACGTATTATGTATGTTTTCTCACATACTCATAAACAAAATGGCATGAAAAGAAAGCTATTTACCTAATAATTCAGCCTTTGCCATAGAATTCTAGGTAAAAACAGAGCATATTGATTTATCCATGTCCTCTATAAAAATAGTATTGAAACAATTAATTTTTTTTTAATCAATTAATATAAAAGTCTCTCCTATTCAAATTGTATTTGGGTTGTTTTTTGTTACTCATTCATAATCACATTATTACAAGGACAAAGTTCACTATTCACGTGAACAAGTCAAAGTGTAGAAGGATAAGAATTGTTTTCGAAAATAAACTAACGCTTCGGATTGAAAGAGATCGAAATATAAATGCGTCAGTAATGAAATACATTCTTTGTTCGTTCATATATTTAATGAAAGGTATTTTAACAAAAACGAAAAACAAGAATGAACAAATACTATTAAAGAAGCTAGGTTATAAGACAGGTTGATTTTTCTTAAATAAATTTTGATAGAAATAAGACCGAGACTTGCAATTTTCACCAATTCAAAGAGAAAGGATTTGATTAATAAATTATATCAAATTTGATTTGTCAACAATCGATCAATTAAGTGTGTAACTGTTAAAAATATTTGAAACTGATATGGTCAACGTATTTCCCATCAGGTTTTCCAATACAATATGACTATCCGATAGAGGAAATATTTATTTGGTAACATACAGAAGGCTCACCTCTCTTCCTTGTTTTGTTCGAAAGTGACAGAAATTTTCAGAGACTACATATTGTAGTGGTTTTATCCTGGATAACTTGGAAATACGTAAATTTTTTAAAATTTTGTTGTCATCATTTTAGCTTGCTTTGAAAATGAAAATAAACATTGTCAGCTGACGGAGCTCGTTCTGCTGCGCCTATTAAGACTTGTTTTCAGGTTATTCAAGATAAAACTACTGAAATCAGCTATCTCTAAAAAATCTCTGCCGCTTTTGAAAGGAACAAGTTAGAGAGGCCAACCTCATATAGATCGAAAGATATTTTTTTTTTGCTCTATCAAGTAGCCACGTTATGAGTGAACAGCCTATAGGAAACACTTCCATAATATCCATTTCAAAATTGATTTCTAAGAACTCACTTGGTTTGCCGATTGCTGACCTATGAGATTTGACATGATTTTACAGCTAAATCTTTCCTCTTGCAATTAGTCAAAATCATAGATCTCTCTATCTTGTTCTTATCAATAGTTATTTGGATGACATCCATCTGTAAATAGCTGAATTCGACAATTAGTTTTATTTTTCGGAGTATTCTCCAATGAGTTCTTTATTATTCATCTGATCTAAAATTAATCTATGAATGGTCGTATTTAGTTTCACTTGTGACATGTTTTTCAATAAATAAATAACTAGGAGTACAGTGGCTGAAAGAAGGTTACTACACATTGTCACATATAAATAAGATTTATGTTGTCGATTTCTTCTTACTATTAGCAATTTTTTTTGTACAAAGAAGAAGAATAGTGCAATCTTTCATTACATTTAACAAAGTGCAGAAAAACGCTAGTAAAGTTTTTCTATAACCAGAAGAAGTTCAAGACACATTTTCTATCAACATTGAAAAGTATGAGATATATTAGGTCAAACTTTCTACACTAGGAGAGACACCGTTACTCAAAAAGAAAAAAAGAAATGCTTATGTAAATATAATAAAAAGAAATAACGAAACACGACTAAACTTGTCTCTGTTTAACGATGATTTCTCATGGTAATCGTATTAGATTTTTAAAAAATCTTGAAAAATCATTATTATTTAAAAGTTCCATATTATGGTGTGTGACAATTTACATTCTAATGCATTGAAAGAATTCAGTCATAGGAAAGCTTGCTTTTCAACTCCTCTAATAAGAATTGCGTGAAGCAATCAAAGTTTTTTTTTTATGAACTAGATCTGTCGGCAATGGTAATATAGAAGTCTTTATCATGAGCAGTTTTAGCTTTCTATTCTATGGAAAATATGTGTTGTAGTGTTCGTTTTTGTTTTTCATTTGAAGTGCAATAGTTAGTTCTAATCAATAAAGTGCAATTCATATTAGCATTCCATAGATGGCAAATAAAGACAATAAGAAAAGAAATCTGGTGTACATGTCTTGAACGTAGGATTGTCAAATAGTGCCGCGATCAGAAACTCAGCTTAGATAGAATCTATGCGATATCCATATGTTTTTTTGCTGTTAGGCCTTCGAAAATCCTGTTTCCTATAGCACAAACTTTTTTTCGTTAAGTTTTTTTTTTTATGTGTCTAGTTTGTGCAGCGCCTCAAGTTGAGTACAAAGAACTATAATTTTCAAAACTTCAACCATTACAGAAGGATTAGGCTAGTAAAAAAGTTTTAACTCTTATCATTTCTTTTATTTTTCTTTCAACATTTACATTCTCTACGTTTTATTATTAGCTTGACTTTTTTCTTGATTTCGGATGTTATTCTATTCATTTTCATATTTTTCATTTGGCTTTGTCCTATTTTAAGCCATAGTACTGTCATTTGTCCTTTCGTTCTTATGATTAGATCAGTCTATAATTACCAAGGAAGGAAATATTTTGCATGTGCTTTGATAGTATTTATTTTGTTACTATTCTAGTTTGTATGAAACTTTAGTCACCAAGACTTCTGTTAATATTGCTAACTGCTTTTGGGTGTGAGGTATGAGTGTAAAAGAGATCTCAGCCTCGCCCATACTCTTTTTAACCTAAAGAAAACTTTGAGTAAGATAAAGTCTTTGTGAAGCTTTTTACATTATTGGACCTCAAAATATGAAAGTTCGAAGTTCTTCGATGAGCTGCAGAGCGTGTTATAGATATTGAAATATAATGACAGAACAAAGTGTAGTGCAATAGCAATATCTACCCGACAAAGTGATATTGAATAGAATGGAAAATCTATAAAAGCTCAAGTATTACAAACTTTTTACTACACTAGTTCCTCTGTAATCGTTCATATTGTGAAAAATAAAATGCTTTTTATATTAAACTTGAGACGCTCTAAAAAGTACACAGATCAAAAACAAATTCCATGAAAAGTTTTTTTTACTATAAAAAAAAGCGAATCTTTGAAGACCCACCGGTAAAAATCATTTTGATATTCAGAATTAGCATCGTCGATTACCAATATACTACTAGATTTTAGCTGAAAAGCGATTGGACAGTTGATGATGTTCCTTACTTCGTCTTCTCATTCGGTTTTTTGAACGTTTGAACTCACTGAACAACAATATTCGAAGAGTAAAATTCTATTTTTCTCGAATATAATAATCAAAGACAACTAATTAACATCATGTGAGGCTTTTTTCTCAAAAAAATTTTAATAATACTTACGAGCAATCAATACAAAACTTCACTAGTATAAAAATAATATGTACAAAAATTGATTACTGCTACATGGTTTGTTTTCCTTCGGAAACAATAATGAAATAAAAAATATATTTTACGCTGATACTTTTATTAAAAATAGTCGAGAGGTTATCATTTTATTTAGTGTTTTAAAGCTTCGAAAAACGTGTTTCTTTTTTTGCAAAAACTTAGTCCATGGAAGGCATCTGACTGATATATATGATTTTCTTATAGGTGTTAGTGAGCATGACTTGAAATTATATTGTTATGTTTTGTACTGATCAGAAAACTATTCAAAAAAGATTCTACTATGAAGTATTATTGTAGGCTTGAGTAGAGATGCGTAATCTAGGTCAAAATATGAAATAAAAATATCGTTATTTTCTAAATAATTTTTCATTGTCTATAACCAACTCTTTCGTAGACATTAAATAACAAAATGTAAAGCTGAGATCAAACAATTGTAAGGTGAAAAAATTGACAAAATAAAATTACACTTTTTTGTTTTTGTCTAAAACATCAATTCATTGTTTTCATGTATAGTTTATCAATAATAATAAAACCTATGAAAAAACACAATGATATTTATAAGGAATTACTAACATAATGTTTAATTTTTTATATAGTAAACTAATTTTTGATACAGTAAAGATCTCAATTATCACCACCAAAATTTAAAGCAACTTATAACTGATTTTGTTTTTTTGTTTTTATTAGACTACTAAAAAACTGATGATCCTCATAAACATAAGCGTGCCATTTCCGATTAAGTTTATTACGCGCCATTATCTACTCTCATTATTTGGTCAAACTGACTGTTCATACGTAATGTTTAACCTTCTCTGGTCATCTTTTCATATCGGATGTTTTATTCTTCTTTCTATTGTAACTATGTATTGTGAACCATCTCGTTCTCCTTGACTCTTCTCTTTTTTTTTTATTTCTCCTAGTTGTATATATAAACTTGGACTTTTGACCTAAACGATACGATTAATGATACGAAGAAATCAAGTGGAGACTTGTATACGAACAATCCTTCGATCGATGATCAAATACAAGCGATTCGAGTTCGAGATGTTTTTCTTGATTCAGTTTGTTTCATCTCAATTTCTCACTCATCGAATTCAAGCCTTCATTGTTGATATCGATCAACAAAGATTCGTTCGAAGTTAAGTATTGTAATTATCTATGGATTAATGAATTAATTCATCTGAATTATTTCCTTTGAGCTCGTCAAGTCAATTAATGAACGATTAATGTATTCCTTGAATGAACACATATCAATACGAGGACGAAACATCAGATACTCGTCGTAGGGTGAGTGTTTATTTTCCATTCATTCACGTATTTACCTACACTTAAAAAGAAAATATTTTTCTTTTGTTTATAATTGTCTTACAGAGTACGAGAAGAAAAATGAATATGGACTGCATATTATTTTTCTTGGTAGACATCAAGATTATCTATATATTAGCCGACATATTGCTCTGCCACTAGTTTGACATTAATGAAGGCTACCGCCTTTAAAATTGCAACGATAATGACTTCTATCATTTTGTTACCAGAATTTAAATGAATTGAATATGCGTGTGTCTAGTGTGTTTGTTTGTTGAGTACTTGACAGAATAGTAATATGTGCAGAACAATCTTGATTTAGAAAGCATGATTGTCAATGACCTTATACAAAAAAATACGACGGACTACGATTATTGTATATGTCAATCGTATAAGACGCAACACGATGCTATACAATTGTGGTAAACGATCGTCGTAAACGGTGTTCGTATACGAACGTATTTTTGTCGTGTTCAATGTTAAGTAATTTTCTTTGCATCAAAATGATTTTTTAAATATTTATATCCCTTACAATTGCATAATCAACCGTAAGTATGTTTTGTTATAGGAAACAATTTTTTTATATTTAGATCTATCTCGATGGTACAACTAATAGTAAGTATTATTTTAAATCAAATAATTTTTTTTTTCTTTTTCCTTCTAAACCCATCTCACACAACATAACGGACAGTAAGTAGTATTTTAAATTAAATAATTTTTTTCTTTTTTTATTTTAGATTCATCTCAATGGCATAACGAACCGTAAGTGTTATTTTAAATTAAATTTTTTTTCTTTTTCATTTTAGATTCATCTCAACGTCACGACAAACAGTGAGTGTTATTTTAAAGTAAATGATTTTTTCTTATTTATTTTAGACTCATCTCAACGGCACAACGAACAGTAAGTATTACTTTAAATTAAAATTCTTTTTTCTTTTTTGATTTAGATCTATATCAACGGCACAACAAATTGTGAGTATTATTTTAAATTAAATAATTTTTTCTCTATTTTATTTTAGATTTATGTGAACGTCATAACGAAAAGTAATTATTCTTTATATTGAGGATGAAGATGTTGAGAGTAGCAAATGGGGAGGCGGTAACAGGATGTCACTCCTTCTTATTCAGAAGAAGATTGTACGAATACGACGGTGAATGACGTTATATACGACACGAAGACATACAGTTGTATTTCTGGTGGATGTAATACACTAAAATACGGTCGTATACGATTGTAATTTACAGTCTATGCAATCGTACACAGTTGCATAGGACTGTCGTAATGCTCGTCCTGGGAACGAAGCGTAGAGGGATGTGGGTCTGAACCTTTGTTTTGATATGGTGTGTGGATGTTTGTGTGATGCATGAGTGAGTGTGAATGTGCTAAATATCCACATTCATTCCTGCAGTCATTCACACACCCATACCCATCGGTGACCTAGCCCTACTTCTAGCTGGTTCTTGTAGGACGAGTGAAAAAGATCGTATATCGATTTGTTGAGAATTGCTCGAAACCCAGCTTTTGCCGATTTCTTTTCTTTAGAGAAAGAAACCCAAGGACACAGAAGCTGTGTGTGTACGCAGAGCTGAAAACAAAATTCGCCCACACCATGAATTCGAACTTACACTGAAGGGAGTAACTAATGCTACTTTATTGTCAAGCATGAATTCCTGCTTACTCGAATATTCGGTCTTCTTCTCTAATCTCAAGTCGTTCCGTATTTAAGGACCAAGTGTCTCGATTTTTTGACATTTTTTATTAATCTTTGCATCCAAGTCCGAATATGTATTCACAAGCAAGAAAAGGTCATCATTGTGGTCTATTTACCTAAGCTTTTATTTTCATACACAATGCGCCAGTGATATCAACTTCGCTGCAATTAGCATGCATATGTTATCAAGACAAAAAACAATGCTAGTCGTTTGTTTGCTGTTTCTCTCATTGAAGACTATTATTGCTCAACAGATTCAACCTATTCCAGTTCAGTTCGATCTAAATGTTAATAACACGTGGCAGCAGACATCACTGGATGTCATTAAATTTTTCGGTACCATTAAACCACAGAATTTACTTTCTCAAATCTTGGCATTAGATAACAACACTACAACTTGTAGCAAAGAACTAATACTTCTCATAGAAGCAGCAGTCCGTTTCGATCAATGGGCGCTCAAAATACTCGATGCTTGGGGTAAGCCAATTCCGTCTGGTCTGCTCAAAGGAAACAGATATTGGATTGGAGACTATGACGAATGCCTTCGACCATTGTATCAATCAGAGACTAAATCGTTTCTACTTGAACCGTTTGAAAGTCAATATTGTAAGTCAAATTTTCTCATTTATATTTAATAATATTTGTCTTAGTTGGACGCGTTGTCGACAACAGAAAGTTTATTGTATGTTGATTCAGATTTTCTACTTTCTTTATTCCCTTAGCAATATAACTAAAGAAATTTTTCCAAAGCTAAGACAACTTGTTCGTTGTTGGATGCAAAGATAATTAGCGGAAAGGAATGAACTTTAATTTCAAAAACATCATATACACAGAACTTGTTCCATACAGATAAAGTATTGTGATACTCCTCCCTGCATTACCTATAGTATCTACTAATTGTATCTCATACTAGAACCATAAGTATTTTCAACACTAGATATCTAAAATTGTGCGCAGGTGCAGCACGTTACCTATGAAAGTTTGTGAAACTGGTTCGGTCTTGATCGCTTGAATTAAAATATTGATCAGCTGTGAAAATTCCTGTTAATATACGTTCTATAAGCCAGGAAAAGAAATATGTTATAATTCGGTCAACTCGAAATGGTGTAACAAGTAAACATGACTATCCATGTTGAAAACTTTTCAAATGTTTTGTTCAATGAGAAAAAAAAAGTTCGATACATTAAAGTAGAGTGAAGATCGTCGATTCTTTTATGTGAACAGATATTTATGAGATATTCGGTATAGTAAACCAGTGATAAATCTCAAAAAGAAATTCATGAAAATTAGTCCGTTTGAGCCTTTTTCATTTTCCATAAACCTTTCTGATTAAGAAAGAACGAATAATAATGTATGTCTCTTTGCTTAAGGTGCTCTAGTACCTCAATCGTGGACACCGAGACAACTAGTACTCACCGGTATCATTTATGGTATGTGCTTACCATCATCTTGTGAACGATCTTCTATAGTGTCCTTGGTTCGATCTCTTTTGGAAATTGACAACGTTATTGAAAGTCAACTGATTTGCTCGAACGGTCCTGAAAGTAAACAGCGGCGTTTTTCACCTGGAGCAGTAGCTACTTGTGTTGTTCTTGCATTCCTCGGTCTAATCGTTTTAATTGGTACTGTTGCCGATTGTATACTTACCCAACGCAAGCAGTATGATCTCGAAAGAGCCGAGCATAGTGGTTTAATTACTACAAGCAATCGATACAAAGATCAACTCGCCTTTCTAAGTGAATTTTCTGGATACCGTACTCTCTGTCGAATATTCACGATGAAAGTCAAAAAAGACAATGAATCATATGTATTCATAAATGGCATTCGTGTGTTATCCCTGTTTTGGGTAATTTTTTGCCATGTGTTCTTCTACAATTTGCTCTTCACAAACAATATTGTCGACATACTCGGTTGGTCTCAAAATATGACCTATCAAATAATTTTAGGCGGTGGGTTCAGTGTCGATACATTTTTTTTGATTAGTGGCTTTCTAACAGCAGTTCTATTCTTTCGACAAGCTCGCAAAGAAAAGCTTTCATTTCGACTAATGGTTCTCTACTATGTCCATCGATACATGCGTCTCACACCAGCATTTCTTCTCGTAGTTCTTGTCAGCATCAATTTAACACCTTATTTTGGAAACGGACCATTATTTCCAAGTGAACAAGGCTTTGAAACACCGCTATGTCGTAGCCGCTATTGGTGGACATCAATTCTCTATATTGGCAATATTGTTCAACCCGATCATATGTGCTTAACAGTTTCCTGGTATCTTCACAATGATATGCAATTTCATTGGATTGCTCCACTCGCACTAATTCCTTTTGTCCTTGGGCGAAAGCGCATTGGTGTGATGGTTGGTGTTATTTTTGTCCTCATCAGCATCGGATCAATTTCTGGTACGCTTATTCGTTATCCTTATATGGTCAATGGTACACTACAACCAGCTAACAGGGCAGTAAGTTGACGAATTTGGTTTTTCACTTAACGCTACATTACAGTTGGGTGAGCAGAAAAGAAAAGTTTTCTTAAAAATCAAAACTTTGTAAAACGTTTGAAGTTTCTTGCATAGTTTATGATATGATCATTGTTATTGTATCGTTGAGTAGAACACAATCACTACCAATACAATAAAAAACTGTTTAAAGATTTTTCTTTTATTCTGTAGGCAAATCCAACATTTATCAATGCTATCTATTATCCTCCTTGGTGCCGCATATCGCCGTATGCTATCGGTCTTATTGTTGGTTTTATAATTATCAATACAGGTCGCACCTGTCCACTTCGTATGCGAACAAAGTTGATTGGAACGTCGATTGCATTTGCAATTAGTTTCGCTTGTATTTTTATAATGTATGCTGATAGTGTCCTGCGTAATGGTCTTAGTCCGAAAGTGCACATTGCCTATCAAACACTTTCGCGTCCATTATGGTCACTTGCCATCGGATGGATTATCTTTTTGTGTAGCACCGATCAAGGTGGCATTGTCAATACTATTCTTTCGTGGCCAATTTGGGCACCACTAAGTCATCTCAATTACGGGGCATTTCTCATTCACGAGACAATACTTGCAGCTGCTATTGCCAATCGGACAACTCCCATCTATAATTACTCGTTTGGACTTATTCATAGTGCTGTCAGTTTCATATTTTTTACCTACGTCATTGCAATTGTCGTAGTCATCTTTTTCGAAACGCCATTTATTGTTATCGAAAAAAGACTAATCAAACGCTAAATAATCAACATTTGATTACATTCGCTTGTGGATTATTCGTTCAAAGAAAGAAGGGGCTACTAAGAAAACTAAGATTCTTAACAGTAGATATTTCATGTTGTAAATATCCGACATTGATTTCAATATAAACACATCATTTCTTACTTAGAACATTGATCAAGACAGTATTCTGTATTAGCAACATTAATTAAGGGAGTACAGTATTGGTTGAGAAAAGAATTATAGGCACGTAGACTACATCGTTTATGTGCGCAAATTAGTTCGATGTGACACCAAGGACTATTCATAATATTTTATTAGGAACGTAGGCAGCAAGGATATTCGCATCATTGACGACAGAAAATTGTACAGTCGTACACTCTTCTCTCCAGGCAGCTTGATAGCTAATATTGGATGAGTTGGCAATACAGAAAAGATGAAATTTTTACTTACCATGGTACCGGATCCCTAATGTGAAATTGTTTCTCAAAATGATAGGCGATTATGAAGTTTGTGATATTGGTAATCCAACAACAGACTATCGAATCAGAGACAAGAGTTTGTATGAAACATGGAGTGAAGTAACATGGTATTCATTTTGAAGCAGTTTGTAATAGCAGACTGATGAGACCATGTGAAAGAGATACGAGCACCAAATGCCAGTTTGCTTGCATGAGAAGATGAATTTTGAGGGATGAAGAGAAACATCATAATAAGCAAGGACGCTTTTGGATACAAGTGAACATCGAAAAGAGATTTGTAGGGTTGCACAAGTAGAAGCGAAAGAGATAACTTTTGACCCATGTCTATATGTCATTATTGATGGCAAATGAAATTTAATTTTTTGCAATTGATGCGAGAGGTTTTCATCTTTGTTTTATGCTTACCCACAACCACAAAAAACAACTTGATGAATCTTGAAAAATATCATAATTCTATTTAATACTTTTTTCAAATTGTTGCAACAATGAAACAAAAAATTTTATTAACTTATTTAAAGTGCTCATCTTATATCTTAAAGGATAAAATGAAGTTAACTTGACTACTATGCAGTTAGTTTAGTTTTGTTATTGAAATGTGAGACAATGATCAATGATATTGTGCTGACATTCAAACCGGATAAGATGATCAAAACTTATCTATATTCCGTGCACATTTGGTAATAAAACGACTATCTTTGAAGTTTTTGATGTAACATCGTGCAATTCATATGGCTACCTATTTCAAACAATGATACTTGCTTCAAATAAACATATACAAATAAATAAGTAATTATATGACTCACAAGATATCCTTTGTGTAACAAAATCGGAACATCGTTCGAGAGTTAATTAAATGCAGTGACAATTCTGAAGAACTGATTACGGCTTATTTTCATGTTGTGGGTGTGGGTGTGGGGTGGTGTAGATGCAAATGAAAGAAACACTCACACCCACACCCACATCCACATCCACACGCACACGCACACCCCACCCCACACCCACCCTGAAGTGTGAGTGTGAATGAGGAAAAGGTCCACACTCATACCTTCACATAGGTTTCTAGTTGTGCGACTGTTTATTTGTAATTCAAGATCTAAAAATTGCTCACTCACTCTCTTTCTCTGTTGCACTTGATATTCTTAAGGTTTTTCTTTTTACTTTAGCTCATTCTAGTACAATCCGAATAGAAATAGTATGTATGATTCAGACTCACATATCATCAACTCTTGCTAAACCCTTCTCGACAACTATAAAAGTCATTTTTTAAATGATTCATTTATTGACTTTATCCGAAATATAAATTAGATATCAACACAAGGTTTCTAGTCTGATGAATGTAAAATAGAATCTTTTTTCATGAAATTCGTATTTTTGTAGTCAACTACAGATTTCAAATGTAGATTCTCACGAAAACTTCGATTTCCCTTCGACAAATTGGACATGTTCGAAGTGAATCACCACATGGAACACAAGTTGCCAAATGTCCACATGGAATACACGCGAGACGTTTCTCTTCAGTCCAACAGAGTACACACATATTTGACGATGAACATTGCTTAGTAGACCTAATGCTTGCTTCTTTTTTCAATCGATTTTCGACCGTTGTAGCTGTTGATTTCGATTCGATTATTTTGTTTATATTCAACTGATTTATTGGCAATAATTCGTTTGATGTTGATACGGACGATGATGAACCTATTTTGTTATGAACGAATAAAAAGACTGTCAAACAAATAAATAATACAATACTGTTTTGTTGTTTCTCGTGAACGCTTTTCATTGCAATACTCGGCACTAAAATATTATCTTTCTTCCCATTAATATGATCGATTTGCTTTTGAAGAATCATACAAGCAATCCATAGATCACATTCAGTAGCAAAGTCATTTTCTTAACAGAAAAAAAAGCAGAAGAATACAAACTTAATTTGTTTTAAGCTACGAACGTTTTAATCTTAGCTGATCTTCCCAACAACGTTTGATAATTGATAGTCTGAAATTTTGTTTGAGTAAACGTTGTGAAATAGGTAAATCGAGTCGAGCAGCAACAAATTGTGACAATGTGTCCTCATTGGCGATCACTAATGGAGACCTATTTGTTTGAACATCGTTAGAAAAATGTTCACTTATTTTTGGTCGGTTTTCTGTATTCTGTTCTAGAAGAAAGATCAGCATATTTTTTTCATAGCTTACATCATTTGTTGAGCAGAAAAAAAAACTAACCTTGAGAAGTTCGTTTTAGTTTTTGAATTTTTCGATAAAGTTCATCATCACAGAGCTGTTTCGCATAGGCGCAAAATGGAAACCAACGTAGATGTTCAATCAGTGGATTATCTTTCGGATCCCAATTTTGAAGTGATCCATCACAATAAAAACAAGTCACAATGGTATTTGAACCAGTATAGAAAAAACCAGCGCGTACTAGATCGTCTACAGAAGGCAATGATTCTTGAGGCCATGAATGAAATGATGCTTGGCGCTTCGAAATTTCCATATAGACACTATGACATGGTGACGTTTGCATAATTTCACGGAATCGAGATAGATCCGCTGTTGCTGCTGAATTATTCGTATTTTCGTTGAGAGTCGAAGTCGATAATCTTGCACGAGTTTTTAAAATGAATAAAACATATGGACATTGAGGTGAGAGAGTTTCATGTACTTCCTGTGGATCATCAGTATCTGATGTCCATTGTTGACAAATTAAATTGCAATATAAACAAATGACACGATCACGAACATTGCAAGAGAAGAATCCGGCCAATATCATTTGTGTTCGAGATGGTGCTATATTTTGTGGCCAATGTGAAAATGTTCGATAACGGACTTTTTTCAAAGTCTCGACTTCTGATAATAAACTGACTCTTTGACTATCAATCTTTTGACGTTTTGCTGGATTTTCGTCACAATGTGACAAATTATAGTTTCGTTCATTAGTTGGTAAATTATTTGAAGAAGATAATCTTATTCGATTCTTTGATAGAACTGATTCAACGAATGAACAGTTACGACTCCGTTGAATATGAATAGTAAATGGATCCATGTCAGTTGTCCATTCAGAGACTTCCAATCCACATGAATGACAACAAGCAGTATCACCAACACCGGTATATGTCAAACCAGCTGCATTGAGAGAAATGGATGAATGAATACCTCGCTTCTTCAACTTATTAAGAACGTCAGCTACACGACGACTGACATCATTTTTCAAAACAATATTTTCTTGTTCCGTATCAAAACATTTTGATAAATGAACATATTGTCTCTTTGCTATCATTGATATCACTATAGAGATATTTCTTTGTATTGAGTTGATGACGCAATTGTGCAATCAAACACTTAATAGACTTATTTTTGTAAGAAAAGATGTTCACAATAAAACTGACTCTATTTATATATACTTTAATTCGGACTTACATACAGATTGTGAAATTTTTCAATGATTCATCGGAACCGGGAAAATTTGTCTTTGAATAATCAAAATTTTCCCTATTATTGTTGTTTACAACAACACTAATGAACATATGTTCGAATTTTTGGCACATCGCTTCTTTGTCCCATTAGAATGATATAAGAATACTAGCTGTCAGATCAACTTATTGGAATAATTTGTTATCGACTATTGGTGACCTCTAGCAATTTCATAGTGTCATCTGTAGATTATGCAAGAAAACAATAGATTGTTGAAATTGTCAGAAACTAAATCTTTCTACTCGATGAAAAGCTACATGTGTTTAAAACTACTTCTGAAAGTAAGTGACAAATGCCTACAAATTAAAGAAAAAACTTGAAGAAAATTCAAACTGTATCATCCGGTCACGTTTATTCTTTTTTGGTTACCTTACTATATCCAGTGAAATCGATAGTAAATATTGTTGTGGATGCTCTTGGAGAAGAGCTTCTTCATGCACACAGAAAAACTAGATCTAGACCCACAACAACATCGACATCATCACCTATCAGTCGAGTCATTAAACGTAACTAATGAACAATTGTGAAATCGTTTCAAGATCCTATAAACAGATGAAAGTTCTGTGTAAAAATAATGAGAACTTCGTTGTCATCTAATCATTTGAAAATAAAAATAACTCATGAATGATAGAAGCACACGAAATAACACTCAATGAAGAAGTCTATCATTCATAACTATAAAATAGTAGTAACTTTCAAAATGTTACAATAATTTATTTTCGTTCTTCTCTTTTTGCTATATTTATTCAATGACTGAGAAATCTGTAACAGAAAAAAAACATTAATCTGTTGTAGATGTTAATGCCATACCAACAGTGATACCATCCTCTGATCGTTCACTTATTTTTTTTGCCCATTACATAATCCTCATTTATGTTGAACGAAATCGTGACAAATTTACCATCGGGTAAAGTAACCTATAATAATCAACATAATATAAAAATTTTCGATTCAACCTAGAATTGTTATTTGAACTTTGAAATCTTAGAACATGTCACAACCATATGTACGACAAACAGGCACTAGTTTCAGCTTAAAAATCGGCTGAAACTGATGGAAACGTCTTTCGTAATTTACTGTCAATATTCTGCTTGAACTAAAAAAAATAGACTGACAACTCGAATAACATAGAAAGCTACATATTATTTGCCAAATCGAACATTTCTAGATCGTCGACAGTCAACGGTGAAAAGCGAGACACTGTTTGAATATAACGCTCTTCTGTTTCTTTCATTTTGATCACGAATATGAATGAATAAAACTTACTATATATATAGTTTGAATCAATTTTGTTCTTTCATTCACCTATTGCCCCTCTTTACCGTGGTCTTCTAAATATGCAAGAAACAATTTTTTGATGAATAAGATGCTTGAATAACAAAACAACAAGTGTTGTAGACATGCAGGAATGATTGACTGACTTCGTTTTGTCGTCATCTATTAAAATAATTCTGTATTTTTTACCTAGATCTATTGATGTATCCGAGAAACCGGCAGTGTTCAGACTTTCGAAAAAGGAAATTTCGGAAGTTTCGGAGATTTCAAGCATTTGTGTTCGGAATTGTACGTTACTTCCTAAAATAATGTAATTTTCGAAATTTCTGAAATTTTCGCAATGACGTACTTACAGAAATTTCGAAATTTACAGAAATTTCTAAAATTGCTGAAATTTCCAATATGTCTAAAAACTTTTGATTTGCACTGCTATATAGTAATCGAGCTGATGGAAATTTCAGAAATATGGGTAATTTTCTTTTTTGGAAATCTGAACATACCTCGAACCTTTGGCTTGAGTTTCCTACAGGGAGAGAACACGATCCGATAAGAAGATCAGTTAGGAAAATTCATTTGATAGTTGATTAATCTCACAAATCAAATGAACAACAGTTAGCAGTTGTAGCTAAAATCATTTCTCATTATGGTCAATGCTGCTCAAAAATACTTCGATGACCGAAGATCATGTCTCTTATAGGAACCTAGTGATTTCGACTTTTGTATAAACCTACATAGAAAAATCATTCGCTTTCATCATCATTGATAGGCTGTAGAAAGACCGTGTATAATCATTAGACTTCTCGACTCTCAAACACTTATCAAATAGCGTATGTATAGATATGTGAGTGTATAAGTGTGGAGTGATTAGACCTCGGATGTCGATATGAGTAGATGTAGATAGGTATGAACTGTGGATCATCTTTTTAATTGCTCATGCTCATGCTCACATGCACACTCACACCTTTAGGTTATTTGTAGCATCAAAAAAGATAATTCTAGTGCACATGTAGTTTTATAATACGATAGTTAATATAGCGTGTCTTATTCTTTGCATAATGTATGGACAAAAAAACGTAGCGTATTCAATCTGAAAGTGCTAGATTTTGAGAAACTTTTGAACGCGAACATTTCCTGTATCACCAATGTACATATTCATTGATGAATCAAATGCTATGCTTCTTGGGGCATTTAGTTCAGTTGTACTGTTACCAGCTATTCCAGTCCCAACTATTGTAATACCAAGTGAACTGTTTTGACAAAACATTTGTACTCTATGATTTCCTTTGTCAACAACATATATATTCAAATATGCATCAATTTTGAGGCCCATTGGACTATTTAGAAGTGTGGCATTAGAACCTGATACGCCAGCTGTACCAGCGACGAAAATGCCTGATGAAGCACCTGGTGTCCATCGCATCACCGAATGACCAGCATTGTTTGCTATATACATATCAGTGCTTATAGATGGAAGATAATGAATTCCCCATGGATAGTGTAATTGAATATTAGAATTACCGTTACTATTGCCACCAGCAACAATAGTACCATTAGTACCTGTTGTTGAATTAGATCGATAGAGCATAGTACGTTGATTACTATTATCATTAATATACAAGTATGTTTCAGTTGGATCGAGACAAAAATATCGCAGCCAATTAAACTGATTCAGCGCCGTACCATTTGATCCAGTTATACCAGCTATTGTCACACCAACTGTTGAGCCATTTATAAATTTTTGAAGACGATGACCATAACAATCAGTCACATACATATTTTTTTGAGTCAACATAAACGTCTTGAGGACGGTTCAGTTGACTGGCACCAGTGCCACGTGACTGTACTATACCAGCAACTAAAATGGGTGTCAAAGTATTTTTTGGCAATTTCCATACAACAGAATTTGGATATTCATCGACGATATAAAGTGTATCGTTTGAATCAAAAAATAGACCAGAGACACTTGAAATTTGTGACGAATTCAATATAGTTATACCAGTCGTATTCCACCGATAAGGAATTACACCACCTAGGAATGAAATGCGAACAGAATAAAAACTGGAATATTTTCTTCAGATAACATAAATTTTATTTCATAGTTGCCCACCGCAGTATACTCATTGCTATTTATATTTGAGTTGTTTGTCATCGACTTACCACATATGGTTTATTAGGATATAAATTCATCAATGAAGATGTTGCAGAATTAGAAACAGGAAAACAACCTTGTATCTGATATTATTTCATTTACATTTTGAGTCTCTTATATACTAGGATCGAAAGTTGTTGATTGATTGGTTATTTTCTTAACTTATATTATTCAAAGTTCTATATACTGATTGATAAAAACCGTTAGTTCTAGCTATTTTCTGTCTAGAGTCATCAAGAAAGCTTAGCTTTTGGTCTGACTTCACGAACATTCACAAATATTCAAATTATTTTCAGATGAAGACAGCTGACTCATAGTATCTTAATTAATAATAGGAAGATCTATGTATGACTGAAATACTATACATGGATGTGTCAATAGTAAGCTTGAAACCAAACTGACCGGTTTCACTTATGTTTTTTATCGTTTGTCTCGAATTTAATTTAATCTAATTTTTCCTATTTTTATCGTTTTGTGTACATTTAAATCGATTATCATAAACTTTGAATGATTGATATTTTCTCATTTCATGTTCTACTGATATTTGTAATAACCTTTAAGACTTTCATCGAGATTAAAAGAATCTAAGCCATTGGATCCTATCTGCTACAGTTTAAAAACGCAAAAAAGGAAACTCACCAAATTGTCAGCATTATATTAGAATCAAAGAAAATTTCTTACTTACATGGATTCGTCGTCGTTGTCGTTGGTATTGTTCTTTAGAAATTAAAAAAAAAACATAATGTACGGATTTGATCAAAGACTCGCAAGTATTCAAAGAACTACGATTAGTAAAGGAATGCTGAGTCTAACTGATATTCTTGAATAAAGTAAAATTGACATAATTTTTTCCTTTTTGTTTTCTTCTTGCATGCGCAAATATTCAACATAGGACTTCTATGAAAAACACTTTCACATACTGTTTTGTTTTCTGAAGAGAAAGACTACAAAATTTTTCGAGCTGCTCTTTATAAGCAGTCTCATAAGGCTTTTTTTAAACTTGTAACTAAAAATCACAATTTAACACGGAAGAGACAAATTACTCAGATGAATATTAAGGCATGAGAAAATTCACGGAGACAAATGCTTACTGCTAGCTAACATCCAATCGTCGATTTGAAATTAATCATTTAACAAAATTCTGAATTCAATTTAAGATATAAAAATGATTTCTGAATAGAGAAATGTAAAATCTTTCATCTACATTGTTTCGACATAATTTGTCTATTCTGTTTGATGGTTTGTTCTGTCATGATAAGTCTTTTTTGTCGAATGCCATAGAACTATCTTTTTTTTTTTTAAGTCGAACATTTTCTGATTGTGAGCAAAACATGTTTTCAACTGTGCTAATTTAGTAACGATAATAGTCTTCATATTCATATTTATTCCATACGGTTAAAATCTCACACAATATTCTTTGATCTTTTATTAGATCAATTATTCTTAGGAAGATTTCATGAATACCTGTGTATGGTCAATTGTTCAATTGGTTTCTGTACGTTGTACTTAAGTCAACTTAATGTAAGAAAATGATAACGAGCAAGCCTATGTGTATGAGATAGATTATCAAGGTTAGAGATATTTCTATTTGTATTTATTGTCAGGTTACTATGACTCCTAAACGCGTTCATCTATTTCTCATAATGGCATGGTGATTGCCATTGTATGGTATCTTCAAGCGATTTATGATCTGTGTGTAGAAAAAATTAACTGTTTCTTGTCAGTTAAACAAAAAAGATATGAAGACGATCATAATTTGTCAACAGTTGATGCAATAGAAACACTCAATGTCAAATAGATAAAGGCCAGGCAGCACGAGCACCATAGGCCACGAATAGATAACTGAAAGTATTGTCACTTATCTACCTAATAATCACTTCAGCATGTTAAATGGAACTCGAAATCTTTTCACAGCATCAATTTGAAATCTTTCATTGAGCACGGACTAAACCTATGCATTTTTGTGTCCATGAGTTTTCGCACATACTAATGTCCCGTTCGATCCGTAATCTATCGATAAAATAAATCAATCATATATTTTTTTTAATATTTAGCAAGTCTTAGCAACTATACAAAGTAAACTATACAATGAAAATGTTTTGAAAATGAGTATATTAGAATGTAACAAGTTGGATCTTGCATCTAAATATATACAAGACGGATAAAATTGTATGCCAATTATTTGGAAAGAGTTATCTGCAAACTTCATTTCTTTTTAATTCAATTTTTTTTGGTTTAACTCTTTTCTCCTTATTTTCTAGCACACAGTCATGTCTAATCCCCATACCCCATGAACTGGCTGTCACATATGAATTTTTTTCTAATCCTTGAACGCGACAATGAACTTAACACTGGGCCAAAACTGAATCAGGAAGTAAACATACATTGATAATTTTGTATTCATCGTAGTGTCGAAAAGAAGAATGTCAAACATGCTTTTTATTTAGATAAATATCTAATAATCAATATTGATCACTTGCAGTAATTGACGTTGTACTTATTTGTGTTGTAACTAAATATGCGAAGGCATCATAAACAGTATTACATTTTAGAATAAATACTAATATCACTTTGAATATAACTGAGAATCATATGAAAAAGTGAATGATAAACAGTGAAAAATTTTTCAACAAATTACACAAAACATATTTTATTTTCAGCCTAAGCTCATTTGAAGAGATGCATCATATTTCAATTCATTTCTGTGTAGGATGAAGTCATATTCCTCTCCCATACTTTCATTGTCAGCATCTGAAATTGCTTTGCATATCTGTGCATCTTTAGTTCTTTAGATATGTGGCACAACTCTCTTCAATTATTATTACACTTTTGTTACTCATTTACTTTACATCTCATTAGTTGTTTTTAATCATCGCTTGCTTTGATTTAATGCTCACATTCATTTTGTAACCATAGAGTATTGAAATAGGCGACCGTAGATCCAACATTAGCCTCTCACTGTTTGGTTCATGAGACGCCCCACTACTAACATTTGCTTCTCTTGTATAGGGCGTTCAGAGATACCCATTACATTGAAGAGTAGAACGAGCCATCATGTATGACACCAACAGAACACATAAATGTAGTTGTTACCAGTGTGACAGACTGATATGGCATGTTGTTCCTCTTTCTATTTGTAGCATCAGTAAATATTGCTACACTTCTCTGTTCAATCTTTTCGTTTCGTATTATTTTTCATTGTAATGTTTTTTTTTAATTATGGCAAACATAAGCTACGCATATCTTGCCGATGTTTTTGTCGTGTACTATAGCATCAGTTGATCAAAATAATAAAGTATACTTCTGTTAAAATTTAACCTTTGATTTTTTTTTCTTCTTTTCATTTACTTTTTAAGAGGTGAATGACTTTAGAGAGATACTCAGAAGAGAAGAGATAGTCCAACTTTTTTTGGTACATACTTCAACATTTATTTCAAACAAGTGGGCATGATAAATTTCTATTCTAGAAAATTCAAATGATTCAACTTTGAAAAATAAATGTAGATAATTAATTTTAATGTAGAGAGAATATAGGAATGATATCTATAAGTTTGCGATTGGGTCAGAAAGTTTACCTATATTAGAAAAATGTACTAGATATAAATCGATTTTCTTACCAAACGAATTTCTTTATTCCATTCATGCAGACTATTGCAAAACTGTTTTAGTATTGTCTTACTTTTTTTTTAGACAGTTGGGTTGAATTTCCTGAACTAAAGAACTTCTCATCACATTAAAAACAAACTTTTACTGAATAGACGAAATTTCATCGATGATACATGTTACTAACTTGTGGTTGAAGTTGCATTTGAAAATAACGTTGATGTATCTGTTGTTGTTGTTGTTGCTTAAGAGAAATACAATGTTTGTTGAAAATCAAAAGAAATAAAAAAATCTACAAACTCCATCATTTCTTCTTGTTAATGAATAAACTAATGGTGATACCACAGTAGCTATTGATAGAATACTGACACAGAAAATAGCAATTGCCAATTTTTTGCCATTTATGAAACATTCTCCTGTCCTAGTATTGGATACCATGTTGGTTTGTATTTGTCGAAGATCATTGACGTTTACTTGTATTTCTTTGGGTGATATTTTGGAAGGTGATGTTACCCATTTATTGGGCTTGTGGCTATTCTTGGATGCATCTAACATTTGGCTTCTCTATGAGATGACAATGGCTATTGAAATTGTTTTTTTTTTTAGAGGATTGTCTTTGAAATGCCTTATATAGATAGATAGTGATAAGCTGATCTCGCAATTAATAAACTTAATTTTTAGTAAGAAGGCAATTCATAAATCTAACTGTTTTAGAAAAACTTCGGATTTTTCATCTAATGATGGCTACGATATGACACAAAGCAGGGATTTCAACAACATGGTTTTATTGCACAGAGTAGCACCATGTGAAAATTATAAGTGTTTTGTTGTCTGCGTGGCACATGACCCCACATCTATTCTTTGTTAGTCAGACTCTTTATTAACCAACCAATAACATTTAACATATAGAAAGAACGATGCTATACAACTACGTTTTAATATGCACTGATAATTAAATCTTGAAGGTTTCTGATCTATCAAAGCGTTCACAATTTCTAGAGAAGGCGCTTTATCATAGAAAT